CCTCCCCTCCCTCCGCCCGCCTCCCCGCCTCCCGCCTCCCCGCCTCCCGACCTCCCGCCTCCCGACCTCCCCGCCTCCCGACCTCCCCACTCCTCCACCTCTCCCCACTCCCTCCTTCCCCGCCCTCCCCTCCCTCCCTTCCCCGCCTCCCCTCCTCCCTCCCTCCCCTCCCTCCCCTCCTCGAACCTTTTGAACGAAAAAGGTTCGACCAACAGTCATGTGTGTGTGTCGTCTGTGCGTCTGTGCGTCTGTGCGCGTCTGTGCGAGGATTCTGACTGGCTGCGGATTCGAGATCGGCTTCGTCGATGTCTGTGTATCGTGGTCACTCGGACCGGCCATCGTTACGAGTACGTCCCAGCCGGGCCGGGCGACGCGGCGCGGTGCGTCATGGCCGTGCCTGTACTGGAACACTAGAGACACGAGAGAGCCGTAGAAACGAGGTACGCACGCACGCACGCGCAAGCTGCAACGCCAGCCCGTATGGTATGCCGATCTGTCCATTGCATCATCGACCTCGGGTCGTCGATGCAGAATCTACATGCTGCTCAGAGCCGGTGCGGCTTCCGCGCCGGCTACGAGGAAATACTGAGCTTGTCGATGGCCGCCAGCTTTTCCGCCGTCGCGGCCGAGTGAGTCGGCTCGTCGACGTGCTTTCTCGTCGTCGTCGCCGCCGCCGCCGCCGCCGCTCCTCGTTGATGCGGGCCCGGGACGGCTGCCGACGATCCAGTCGTGGCGGAGTTGGTGGTGGCGCTGGTGTTGGCAGAGGCGCTGGGCCCAGTCATGCGTCGGGAAGCGGGCAGGCGCTCGAGCAACGACGCCGTGAGCTCGCCCGAACGGTGAGCGCAGATCGAGAGGAGGCTGTCCGACAGTCCGTGGGTCGCCTCGTTGCCGCCCAGGACGTAGAGGCTCGGTTCGGGCATGAGGGTTGTGGCCGCCGCGTCGAGCTCGCTGGCCAGCGTCTGCTGCGACGACGTCGACGACGTGTCGCTGCTGCTCGTAAACGGCGTCGACTTGCCCGAACTCGCATCCACGCTGCTCCGGATCTTGGAGTAGGGCACCAGGCGGTAGTCGCGCGTGATGCCGCGCGCACACTCGCGCCGCCGCTCGAGCTCCTCGTCGTCCTCGACGTCGACCTTGGTGGCGATGTCGTCGTCCTCGCTGGTATCCCTTGCCGCCCAGTCCGGGCTCAGCGCCGGGTAGTGCGCCCGTAGCGGCTCGAGGAAAGGGATCGCAGACGGGCTACGCACAAAGCCCGTCCCGAGGAAGACGGCGTCAAACTGGATCGTCTCGCGTCGGTCGTTGCGCACCTTGTCGCGCACCGTCAGCCTGACACCGCCGGCCTCTTCGTCGTCGCCGCCATCGACGAGCGCGACCTCCTCGACCCAGGTGTTGCGTCGGATCTCCATGCGTCCGGCCTCGACCTCGCTCGGGTCTTGCAGCTCCTCGGGCAGCTTGACCTCGAAGGCGTCGTACATCTTGTCGTGCAGCTCGTTGAGAAGGTCGGTGCGCACCACCGAGTAGTTGGTCCGCTTAAACTCCTGCAGCCACGCCTTGCGCTGCTTGTCGCTGGCATTCCAGAACTCGTCGGTCCTCTCCGGGTCAAAGGCGACCGAGTTGATGAAGCCCGTGTCGTCGGATGGCACCAGCGCCGATGCGCGCAGGATCATGGTGACGATGGCCGTTGGGAAGCGGTCGTGCAGGTTCATGAGCATCTCAGTCGACGACTGGCCGCCGCCCAGGACGGCGAGGCGGAGGCGACCCTCGTCCTTGGTGACGCCGCCCATCCTCTCGGCGCGCCTGGCAGCCGAGCGGCGGAGGACGGGCTCCAGAGGTGCGAGCGACGGGATGTAGGTGCCCGAGTGGACGATCCGGGCCGCCCTGTCTGCCTGCGGCGTCTGCGCCGCGTACGGCTGCTGGAACGGCTCGGGCAGTCGCGGGATACCGCCGACCGCGACGCTGATGTTGCGAGCGTAGCGGACAGTGACGTCGCTGCCGCCCGACGGCCTGAGGGTGACTCGAAAGAGCGAAATGGCCTCTCCGCCCTTGCCGCTGCTGACCTTGACGGGGAGCTTCTCGGCCTTGGCGTCGGGCTGGCCGACGAGCGTGAGAGGCTCGACGGCGACGACCTCGTGGCCATAGGTGACAGCTTCGTCCATGCGCTTGGCCGCCCACGCGAGGTAGGCGGTCCACTCCCTGCGGCTGGGCACGCCCTGGTCCTTGTTGATGTACTTGGCGAGCCTGCCGTGCGAGTGGAGGAAGTTGAAGAAGGTGTAGGTGGACGTCGGGTCGCGCAGCGTGGCGAGGTCCTTGAGCGGCGAGACTTGGAGCTGCGAGCCGGGCAGGAGGAGGGCGGGGTGCCATGCAAAGTGGCCCCTCTTTTCGACAAAGTGCGACTTGAAGCCAGCGTCCTGGATGTCTTGGTTCTCTCTGAGCGCGATCGAAAGCGCCAGATGTGCCGGGCCTGGAGGGCGAGCGGGGCGAAAGACGAACCTGGAGCGGTGTCAGCAATCGGCTGTGTTCGACTGGCATTGGCACCGTGACGAGCGAACTCACCGTATCCGAAGCCGAGCAGGTCGTAGATGTCGTCTCTCGGAACCATCATCTGTTCATCCTGTTCGCCAGAAAGGAGGTGGGGATAAATGCGAGGTAGGTCAGCCTTGGGCCGACTCTGCAGAGGTGCTGGCACGCAGAAGGTGATGGGGACGCTTACAGGAGTGGTGGACATGATTGCGACGGATCTTGCAGCGGCTTGACTTGCTATGGTTTGGGAGAAAGGGGACGTTGCGGGCTGATATGGTCAATATGGAGGATGGTGCACGCTCGGTGCAATGAAGGCGGGCGGGTTGGCAGGCGAGCAGGCAAGGTAGCAGGCAAGCAGAGTGCGTCGTAGATCCGGGGTAGCGCTAAGCGGCTGGCTGCGTCGTAGTGAAGCCGAGGTCAAGCGGAAAGGGCGAGGATCCAAGGGTGAATGAGTGATGCGTGTCACTCGACAGTCATCAGAGACTTTGTCGGGTCTGGCGGAGAGGGCTGGAGAAGAGGGCGCCCAATGGGTGGTCGGGGGGACGTGATGGCCGTATATAGGGAGTTGCGGGATGATGGGGCCGAGTATGGTGGTGGTGGTTGTCGTTGTGCCGAGTGGTGGCCGCCTGCCACCCAGCCCTAGGCCGAACGAAGAGGGATGGAGCTGGCCATCCTGCTTACTCGAGAAGGCGGAGAAGGGCGAGTTGGGAGGGCAGCCCTAGCCTTGTCTTCCAGGCAGGGTCCAGGTGGCGAGGCCCAAAAAGAGCAAGCAGCCTGGCTGCAGGCAGCCAGGCAGGCACGCAGCACCAGGACAGCCCCAGGCTAAGGGTTCGTCGCCCGCCGATGAGCGAAGACAGGCCCTCCTGCCTTTGCTCGCCAGCCCACCCAGCCCGCTTTCAGCAGGATGCGATGTGGAGGTTGGGCAGCCGGGCGAGCGATCTGCAAATCGGCGGCAGATCGAGCGCAGCCAGGTTTGGAAATCCCTCGCTCCTGATTGGCTGCCCCCACCAGAGAGGGGTAACCGCCGTGCCTCCGACGTCGAGCAGGCCTAGCCTGGAACGTTGCACGTTGCCGCCTCCTCGCCCCGTCCGAGACAGCCGCCCAAGCCAAGGGGCTCCGTGCAAAACAGCACCCAGGTCGGCCGTGCATCGTACGACGTCCCGGCCGCTGCCCCGCTCCTGTTTTGGGCGATCGGCAAGCTAGTAGGCCAGGCCGGCGGGCAGGCGGCACGCATCGCCAGGCCTTTGTCAGCCAGGCCGGTAGCGCTGGCGATCAGGGCCCACGCCCCAGCCTAGCCTGGCCTAGCCCAGCGCGCCCAGCACAGCAGGCTGGCGCTGGCGAGCAAGCTTGCGTGCCGACTCAAGATCCGCTGCCGGCAAACGAGCTTGAGCCTGCCTGCAACCTCGCGAGACCCTCGAGGCACGCACCGCCCAGCCTGCCTGCCTCTTCGACGACGATGACGGATGCCGCTCGGGTCCTCATCCCGGCACACCAAAATGGTGGCTGCACCGCCTCCCGTGACGGGCGGGCGAGACGGCCGTGGCGTGTGCGGTGCGACGAATTTGATGATGGCGTCGTCCGCCAGCTCAAGGCCGGCGGTGGTCCGGTAACTAGTGCGAGGCCCAGGGCCTTACGCCTGTCCACGTTCGCTCCTCGAAGCGCCATCATCGAGCCCGACGTCGAACGGATATTGACCGCCCGCCGGCTTCGATGCCGCCTGCCTGCCGACCCTCCTTGCCGCCTGCCGATGCACTTTGCGAACCGGAAACGATCGCGAGCCCGCCGTATCGAAACTTGGCCGACTCACCTGATCTACGACCGAACGTGAAAGAGGGAAGTGGTGGAGGATCCGATGCCGTCTGTCCAGTTACGGAAGTGAGGTCAAGCCGATAGGGAGAGGCAGAGCGGCGGTCAGCGGCGATGCGTACGACCCAGCAAGGCTTCGGATGGCCTGAAGCAACGATGGCCGAGGGAGAAGCTTTCGAGCTTCAGTCCGAAGCGGCTGAGCTGCTGCTTGGCTCCTTTGCCGTGACCAGCGCGGCAAAAGTCTCGGACGGCCTGACGAGCCAGCGAACACCGACCGGACCCCGCGCACATCGTCAGGGCCCAACCGACCAGCAGCCGAAAGGGGGCTCCGTTTTCTCCGCATCTCGGAGACTTATGCAAGCGTCCATGCATCCGATGGATGCCGCGACTGGCCCGCACCCGTAACGGCTCTGATGCCAGGCAGGCGAACGATGGCTGAGCGCCGAGACCTTGTGGTCGCCGCAGCGGTCACGTCACGTCGTCCGTCCTTCATCGTCAATCCGCTCATTGAGGCGAGCTTCTTCGGGGACAGCATCCGACATTTCGGCAGGCCGCGCCCGGGCAGCTCGTCGTGTTGCTCTCGCAGGACCGGATGACCACGCTGTCGCCGTCTCATCCGGCCTGAGTCCAAAGGCGGCCGCACGCGGTTGTACGTCTCGGGACGACGTGATGGATCGCGATCCAGAGGCCTCATGCGCCACATATACTGTAGTGCGGTCGACGGTGTCGCCGATGACGAGTTGCTTGCTCCAGCGCGTTGGAGAAGCCATCTACTGGACTTACCTAACAGCGATAGCACTGGATCTGAGACGGGTTGGATGGTGCAGGGGGTCGGCAGGTCGGTGCCGTTGCAAGAGCAGGGTCCGTGGCGTGGGCCTGGTCGATCTGGGTGGCGTTGACGCAAGATGAAGCTGCGACGGCGCGAGGGCTTGATTTTGCTATTCGGCTGCGAGGACAACAAACAAGCCGAGAGCGTGGACGACAGGCTAGGATGCGTTGCAGTTCAGCAATGAGATCTCGGCCACGACGGAACAAAGCACGCCGTACCGCGACACGGGCCCCGCAAAGCGGAATGTGCAGCGGGAGGCGGAGCGTGCGGGCGCGGTGGGCTGACATCGATGACGTTGGTCGCGACCGCCTTTCTCCGAACGACCAGCGGTGCGGCCGGCAGCTGGCACGTTGACCGGCAAGGCTTGCGTCGTCGAGAACACTGCTGCCCGATGCGCCTGCTTCTCGAAGCGGAACCCTAGCCTCATACCCAGCTGTGGCCTCAGCTTTCCTCGCCGCGGTCGGCATACGTGCCGAATTCTGGAGGTCGCTATGGCCACATCCGAGACGGCAGGAGAAGCAGCATCAGGCCTCCACCAGCGAGGGCTATAACCGATGCCCGGGCGGCGTAGAGATGATGCGCCAGAGTGTGCATAGGTGGTGTCGGAACGTGCACATCCATGCACCTTTCGTGCGGTCTGTGGGACGAGTCGAAACGTGATCGAGGCAGGATCGGAACGAGTCGTCCCGATCGAACAAGCACACTCACCGATGCAGGCTCTTGTTGGAAGCGACCTTGAGAAGGAGTCTGACGAGGTGTTGGCGCTGATGGAAAGAGCTGGAGAGGCGCGGGGGAGGGGCGAAGAGTCTGCCCGTTTCAAGAAGGCGTATATGAGTGTAGAGCGACGTGGAAGTGGGGAGGCAAGCTGTGCGGGGCGTGCAAACGAGGGCGGGAGAAGGAGGGCCACAAAGGTTGGGGGAAGAGAGGACGTCAGGAAGAATTGCCGCGGCGGGGCGAGTCGGGTGACGAAGACAAGGCGAGGGGGACGAGGAGAGGCGCGCCTGCAGGTGAATCGCATCTCATCTGATAGCGGATCAGCAGAGGCGATCGCGTAGTCACCCCCCTCGCGGGCAAACGGGCAAAGAGCAAGAGAGGGGGCGGAAAAGCACAGGGAAAAAGGGAAGAAGGGAAAAAAAAAATCGGGCGGATTCACCACCGCCCAGCTGCCCTGCCATGTGAGAAGGACCATGAAGAGAGAGAGAGAGAGAGACAGACGGGGCTCGTGTACCGCAGGCTTGGGAGTCACGCACGACTCCAGCCCGCTGGCAGCAAGGAGAAGATGCAAGTCCGTGCTCGGCGTTCAGTGCGCCGACTCCGGCCAGCCTCGGGAGTTGCGGCACATAGTACTCATCGAGCACTCTTCGTCCGCGCTTGATGGAGCCGCGGCCACCGATCACTTTGCAAGGTGCGGATGGACCGTCTTCTCCGGTAGTCGAGTTCATCAGCCGAGGACATGCAGAGAGGAAGTTCCGCACACCCTATCGCAGCACAGCACGTCGACAGTCAAGCAGACTAGCCCACTCATATGAATGGACTAGTCGAGCACCTCACCTACTTTCACCGCACGAAGTGGTATGTACAATGTGAGCGCATCGGTTACCCTCCCGTGCTCTACCGGGGTGTCGCATGTCCTTGCCTGCGCCACGGAGGAGGCCATTGTGCAACCATCGCGATTGGACTGCAACCGCAAAGGCATCCAGAAGCTGTCGGCGCGCGGCCATAGCGGATCAATCGGCAAGGCAAGCCTCGTTTCCAAAAGCGTCGGTCGAGACACATACCGGTACTTACCCGCGGGTGCTTCGTCTGCCCAGCAAACCATTGTGGCGGGGACAGAGCGTGGCCCCGAAGAGGTGTCATGGCAACGGCGTCCATGCGGAGGATTCGCCGGCTCAAAGGGCTCGCTCTAGCAATGAGAGAATCCATTACGGCAACCTTGCGGTAGAGAAGCGGGAGCCGGCTGCTGTTGAGGTCTGTCGTCCACTCTTGCGCCGCGAGCGTCAGGAGGCCCGGTCGGCGAACGGGCAAAGACGGGAGAGGGCCGCCTTCGCACCGACCAATACCGTGCCGTTGTACTGCCAGACCGTTCCGTTTCCCCTTGCCTTTGTGCTTTCTCTGTTGCATTGCCTCGTGCGGGCGCCAGAGGCAACACAGGCGACAGCTAGAGTGACGGCGCTATGTCAGGTTGATGGGTTTCGGCTGCAGGCTTAGCGCCATGCTCCCGGAGGTGGCAGGCTAGGTCTTGGTGCGACGATGCGCGCGGCTCATGCAGCGAGGTGCAGATAAGATTTGCCGTGGCTTGCTTCTCCGATCAGATAAAGACAGCTTGCGCAGGTCTGACGCCAGAGTAGTGACGAGATGATCAGATAAACGGCGGTGCACCTGACAGCCGTGCGTGGGTTTGCGTCACCACGACCGACTGCCTCGGCTGTGCATCGAGAACTCACCGCGCGGCCAAAGTTTGCCAAGCTTTGCGGCTCACCAGCCTGCCTGCTTGCTGCTTGTTGCGTCGCCCTGCCACATCCTTTGACCTCACCCTCGGCCCTCTCCTCGCCTCGTCGATCGGCGCTCGTCCCTCCGACTCGACAGCTAGTAGATCTGCGCCCAGCACGGCCTGCGAGCGATGCGATCAGATAATGCACAAGCGGTAAGCCTTGCCTGCGTCTGCTGCTGGTGGCGGCGGCGGCTTTCTTCGCGACTGCATGCTCCGATTGAGCTTGGCGTGCATCGTGTGTGCCCCCCCCCCCCCCCCCACCGTGACGGCGATGCTGCGGTGCAGCCCGGTTTCACCCGAGCGAATCTCGACGACGAAGCAAGGCGACACCAGCGGTGCCATAGTTGGGTGTTGCGCTTGCACTGGCAGCGTACATGCAGAAACTTGTCTCGGGCCTGGGCAGACCGTCTGCTGGTACCTGGCGGCTGCGGCTCCCAGGTGCAATGCAATTACGATTATCAGATAAGGGTGTGCTGCGGCTGTCGCCCGGTCGGCCGGACGTGCTCGGTAGCCAAGGCCTCGTTGCGCGCGGACGTGCTGCCTCGCCATGCATGCGTCTGGACCGGGAGGTGACTCGACTTCAGCATCTGCTGGCACTCACGACACGAGCAGCGTGGAAGTCTTCTTCTGACCGCACGGCCCTTGCCACGCCCTGCTCTTGCAGACGGAGATGGCGGTCAAAGGCCCAGATCGCCCCGAACGCGCCTTCACCATAGGGCAGCGGATTCTCGTCATGCGCCTCTCCAAGAAGATTCAAGAAGCAGAGGAAAGCGCTCTCTGCCTCTGCCTGATCCTGCTTTGCGGGCCGGAGAGCTGCACAAGAGGCTGAGCCGGCCGCGTGAAAGGCTGTGCTGCGAGGGACTACGGCCCGCTCCGCCGACGAGTGAGCGCAATAGGCAGTCGCCGTAAAGTCTCGAGAGGGAGCTTGCAAGGTGAGGCACCGGTAGCAGGAAAGACGCCGACGACCAAGAGAGTCGAGGGTGTGACGGTGTGAGGGCGGTTTGACCGGAAGGACCGGACTGGGTCGACGGAGAGCGGCGGGGCGATGATGGCAGCAGGGCGTCTCGTTCGACCTGGGTGCAGCTGGGATGTCGGGGGCTGATTCTGGCTCCTACACCCTGACCCTCCCGATCTCATCTCGGCTGGGCCGGCCGGGGCGACCGAGGCCAGGCAGGAAGCTAAGAGGCAACAAGCAAGCAAAGCAAGAGCGAAAATCCACGCCCTCCACCTTGGCTGGCAGGCTTGACGCCCAAAGAAGATCGGCCAGACCGACGCAGACCGACACAAGAGGCGGTAGGCCGGCGTCGGCACCTCCGAACGAGCGGCGGACGGAGGTGGCCAGGGATCCTTTGTCGACGGCTGCTGTGGCGAGGCGACGGCCAGCCCTCCCCCGGAACAGCCAATCGCTCGCGGGCGCCGCTGTGTCGCCAGGGAGGGATCGAAGAGGACGTGGCCCTTGCCTAGTTACCTGGCTGTCAGAAGAGAGGATAGGTAAGGGTCCACCAACTCTCTGCCTGCCCGCCGCCTGCCTGCAACCTCACCTCGTTGGCCGCCTCTGTCGACCGCCCACCACCCGTCCTTCTGGCTCCTTCTTGTTCGCCTCCTTCTTGTGTCCTTCGACTCGACCGGACTGCCCCTCGCCATCCTCTTCTCTTGCCTCCGATTGGCCCATCCGCGCATCTCGTCCATCCGGCATCCACCGCGCCTGTCCCTCCTCCCCAGCACACCTGGCGATCCGATCAGACAACTGCGCAGCTCGCCCTCGTCGAGCCCATCCCTCTATAACGCACGCTCCCGGCACCGCTCCTCGCTCCGAGTGGCAGCACAACCTCACTCTTCGCGCCTCTTCCCCGCTACTCGCGCCTCTCCGGTCCGCCGGCATCCACAAGGCTTCCTCAAACCAGCCAGAGTCAAGCCCTCCGCCTACAGCGGATCCATCGCACATCTTGCTGCCCTGCCCCTCCAGCTCCCTGCTCCTCGTGCACAGCGCATCGACATGTCTTCGCACGCCCCCTTTCCAGACGTCACCGGCCTTCGCACCTCTGGTCCAGGCTGGTCGAGGATCGGCGACGATTGCGAGTACATCGACGCCGTCTTCCACACCGAGCTCGACGTCGAGCAACTCGCCTCTTCCTCGCCCTCTAGACGGCCAGCGGACCTCATCTGGGCTGCATGGGCAACGGTGCTGGTGAGTGCAGTGACGGGCCGCGCAGGACCCAGATCATCCGGCAACGCCCCTGCTGACGCGACAACGTCCTTCCTCCATCCGCTATTGCTTCTCCCGACCCCAAGTACCACTACGGCTCGCACGAGGCGTCCAATGTCGAGATCGTCGACCTGGGATCCGACTCGAAACAATCGGACACCCTCGTCACCCTTGATTTCGAAGGGCCAAGCGCGGATGAGAGCCTCGATCCTGCCGCACTGCTCGAGCTTGTCGGCGACCGCCGGCGCGAGGCTGTCAGCTTGGCGGGCGGCCTCGAGCATGGCTACGCTGCTGCCGCCTTGCCCGCTGACGAGACCATTGCAACGGCAAGAGGGCCTCCGCCAACCTTTTCGAGCCTGCGCCTGGAATCAAACAGGGCGCTATCCCTCATCCTGACCGCCTACTCGCACGAAAACCAGGGAACCCATCGCCTCAGCCTCTCCATGAAGGCGAGTCCGGCCGTACACACCTCGGATTCGGCCGCCCTGCAGCTGCAGCAGGTGGCTTCGCTGGTGTCGTCGTTCCTGCGCGATGTCGAGACCCACGCGTTGAGTGTCGAGCGCTTCGACCTGGCGCTACGAGCCAGCGACAACCTCCACTACGTCGAGCTGCCGGAACCAGACTATCTCGCGGACCGACACCACGACCGGCTCGAGTGCGAGTTTGAATACTTCGCAGACACGCGACCCAACGATCTGGCGCTCGACTTCCGCTTCGATCTCCAAGACCGCCAGTCGGTCAAGTGGACCTATGCCGAGATGAATGCGCGGGCCGACAGGGTGCGGAACCTGCTGTGGAGCCATGGCATCGGCTCGGCCAGCACCGATGCCGACGCCGGCGGCGACCAGATCGTCGCCCTCTACCTCGAAAAGAGTCCAGAGACCTATCTCTCGTTCCTGAGTGTCGTCAAGGCGGGTGCCGCGTGGTGTCCCATCGATACCGACTGGCCGGCCTCACGTCGACAGGCGCTGCTCGCCAAGTCCAACGCCAAGGTGGTCCTGGTTGCCGGGGACGCCGTATCGCGCAATCTCGACGAGGACCTCAACAGCGATGATCTCCGCAACCGCGGCATGCACCCGATCCGGCTCGACAAGATTGTTGTCGTCGACCAGGCCAACGGCGTGGCTCCCCGGCCGTTGCAGCCGCGTTCGCGCGAGCAGCTCGCCTACATGATCTGGACCTCGGGCACCACTGGCCTTCCCAAGGGCGTCGGGATCCAGCACTGGGCCATCGTGCAGGCCATGCGCGCGCTGCGCCTCAAGATCCCCTACGGCAAGGCGGCGACCGGCACCGACGAGGTCCGCTACCTCCAGTACTCGGCATACAACTTTGACCTCTCCATCATGGACTGCTTCTACGCTTGGGGCATCGGCGGCACCATCTGCGCCTGCCCGAGGGGCCTACTGCTGCAGGACCTGGTGGCAGTCGGGACGAGCTTCCGGCCGACGCATACGCTGCTGACGCCCGCGGTCATGGCAATGACCGAGAGACACGCGATACCCAGCCTGAAGGTCGTCATCAACGGCGGCGAGAAGCTCAGCCAGGTGGTGGCCGACGAATGGAGCAAAGAGTGCTGCCTGCTGAACCTCTATGGCCCGGCCGAGGCCACGCTGATCGCCATGAACCGCCGCGTGCCCCTGGGTGATCGCGTCAAGGCCCCCAACATCGGCGTCGCTCTGCCAACAGTCTCCTGCCACGCGCTCGACAAGGCCGACCGCGTCGTCCTCAAGGGCGCCGTGGGAGAGCTGGTGCTCGGTGGTCCTCAGCTGGCGCGCGGCTATGTCGGCGATCCCGTCAAGACGGCCGACAAATTCTTCCCGCACGCTCAGCTCGGCAGGGTCTACCGCACCGGAGACCTCGTCCGACAGCTCGGCAACGCCGAGTTCGAGTACCTCGGCCGCATCGACGACCAGGTCAAGATCAACGGAATCCGCATCGAGCTGCTCGAGATCAACGCCGCCATAAAAAACAGCCACGAGGCGGTCAAGGACTCGGAGACAATGGCCTTCCCGCGTCCGGGCAGCGACACCGAGCTGCAGATCATCAACTTCTCCGTCTTCCCCAGAGAGGCCGGCGCCGACGGCGACGAGCTGCTCCGCACCGACCCGCCGGCCGTGGCGGTCGCGCGTGATCTGCAGAAGGCCGCCAAGGAATCGCTGCCGTCGTACATGCTGCCGTCGATGTTCGTCATCCTCTCGCGCTTCCCGCGCACCTCGAGCGCCAAGATTGACCGCGTGGCGCTCAAGCAGGTGCTCGCCAACTTCGACTCGCTCGACTGGGAAAACAAGCTGGCTGAAGCCGATGGCGGTCCCGACGCCGATGCGCCGCCTAGCGAGGCCGAGGAGTGCATGCGCAAGTGGCTCGCCAAGCTGTGCAACGTGGCTCCCGAAAAGATCGGCCGCAACACGCCCTTCACCAGCGTCGGTCTCGACTCGATCCGTGCCATCACCTTCTCGCAGAAGCTGCTGCAGGAGGGCTACACGGTCTCGGTCGTCGACGTGGCCGAGTATCCGACGCTGATCTCTCTCAGCAGGCAGCTCGACTCGTCGGCATCCCAGGCGGAAGCAAAGGAGGCGAGGGCCGCCGACTTCTTTGGCCGCTTCGACAGCCACTTCCGCCAGGCCGTTCTGGACAGGCTGTCGGTGTCGTCGGCCGACGTTGGTGCCGTCCTGCCATGCACACCGCTTCAGGAGGGCATGCTCGTCGAGAGCCAGCAGGATCCAATGGCCTACCGCATTCAGCGCCAGTACCGGGTGTCAGGCAAGCTGGATCGGCGACGGCTCGAGTCGGCGCTCGGACGGCTCATCGACGAAGCAGACATCCTCAGGGCCTCGTTCATCGAGACTGGCGCCCTAGACGTTGAGGCGGGCAGCGACTGGCCATCCCCGCCCATCTTCGTGCAGGTTGTTTGGTCGCGCGGCTCGGCAGAGATCTACGATTTGGACCTTGGCGCCGGGGACGACCTCGAGGGGGCGGTGACGGCCACAGTTCGGGACCGGGTAAAGCTGAGTCCGTTCGGCAAGCGTGCGCCGGTCGCGTTCCTCATCGTCCGTCAGGCCGAGCAGATTTCCCTCGTCCTTGTCGCCCATCACAGTGTGTACGACGCTCGCTCGCTGGCGATCCTCGAGGACCGCATCGAGCGGCTCTATGCACAGGAGCAGGACCTGCCGCGGATCTACCAATTTCCGACCGCGCTGTCCCACATTCTGCCGCTTGACAGCGACGAGGAGGCGGCGCGACGCACCGCCTGGGAGAAGGCGCTGGCAACCTACCCACGAGGCGAGCTCAGCATCTTCCCCAACCTCAGCGGCAGCCTTCCGCAGGCCGGCTCGGCTCCTGACAGCGTCCACCGAACTGCCGGCCAAAAGGCGTCGGTCAGCTGGTCCGAGGTGGAGCAGGTCTCGAGAAAGCTTGGCATCTCGGCGCGGCCGCTCGTCCAGGTCGCTTGGGCCAAGGTCCTCGGCGCCTATCTCGACACTGACCACCTCATCATTGGCGACTCGGTGTCAGGGCGGAGCTCTGCGGCCGAGCTCGAGCAGGTCGTTGGACCTGTCCTCTCGACCCTTCCAGTGCCGGTCTTCCTGGACAGTCAGCATAGCGTGGCCGAAGTCGCAAGGCAGGTCGACGCCTTCCACCGCAGTGTCTTTGCCGCGCAGCACACCCACCTCGGCTCGATCCGCAAGCTGCTTGAGGTGCCGGCCGGCCAGCAGCTCTTCCACTCGGTCTTTGTTTTCGAGCCTGCTACCGAGACGCAGCACTCGACGATGGGACAAGACGGGATGGCACTCGGGCTGGAACGGGTCGCCGACCTCGCTGTGGCGACCGAGCATGCGTTGGGCGTCGAGGTGCAACCTAACGCCGATGGCAGCATCCGGCTCGGCGTCAGCTGGCGGCGCGCGCTGGTCTCGGACGCATACGGACGCCTGCTTCTCAAGCAATTCGATGCGTGTCTCGCGGCGATCTGCGCCTCGCCCGAGGCAACGATCAGAGACTGCTTCTCCTTCCGCGAGGTTGCGGACGACGGAATCGTCGCGATCTCGGCCATCGACTCCCCTCCATCCATCGCGGTGGCTGGACTCGAGAATGTAGGCCACGCCGTCTCGGTCTCGGCGAAGGACTCGAGCACCAACAAGACCAACGCCGTCGAGATCTTTTCCGAGATCCCCGAGGCCCGCGCAGGACGTCGCGCATCGGCAGCCATGACCTATGCCGAGCTAGAAGAGGCCAGCAGCCGCGTGGCTGCGTACCTTGCCAGCCTCGACTTGCCGCGCAACGCGGTCGTCGCAGTCTGCCTGCAGCGCAGCCTTGCCTCTTACATCTACCCCATCGGTGTCCTCAAGGCCGGGTTCGCTTACCTGCCACTCGACGAGACGCTGCCCCTCGACCGCAAGAAGCTCCTGCTTGAAGATAGCTCGGCAGCGTGCCTCATCGCCGACCGACCGGAAGATCTAGACAGGGGTTCCACGGCAAATCTTGTCGTTGTCTCTGTCAACAGCGAGGAGCATCGCTCTCGGCTATCGGCAGTCTCGCCACGTTCGCCTTTGCCCCAATCGCTCGGAGCCGGTCCGGACGATGTCGCCTTCATCATCTACACGTCCGGCTCGACGGGCAAGCCCAAAGGCTGCCTCCTCACCCATCGCAACCTGTCGACGGCGATCGAGGCGTTCCGCCTGGTCTACGAGCGCGAGGCACCCGGCTCCTTCGCGAGCGGCGCCCGCTTCCTGGCGCGCTCAGCTGAGGCCTTCGATGTCCACCTGCTGGAGATCTTCCTCTCGCTCCGGGTCGGCGCCACCATCGTCACCGGTCCTCGCCATGTGATTCACGATGACCTGGCGCAGACCATGTCGATGCTCGAGGTTACCCATGCCTGCGTCGTCCCCTCGCTCTTCTTCAGCCGCGGGCAGCGGATCAGACCGGAGCAGGTCCCCAGTCTGAGGGCGCTGATCATCGGCGGCGAGGCGCTGACGGCCGACCTGTGCCAGCTCTGGGGCAGCTTCGGCAGCGAGAGACCGGTCGTGCTCAATGCATACGGGCCCAGCGAGGCGACGATCGGCACGTCGATCGCCCGAGTCTCGAAGCGATCGGTCACGGGCAATATCGGCACGCCGTTCCCCGGCACGCGCTATCTGGTGCTCAAGACTGCCGGCGACATGCTGGTGCCAGCGCTGCGCGGAGAGCCGGGCGAGCTCTGCGTTGCCGGGCCGCAGGTGGCCCGCGGCTACCTCAACCGACCCGATCTGCATTCGTTCCTGCGCTGGGAGGATGAATGGATCTACCGCACAGGCGACCTCGTTCGCCTCAACGCAGCCGACGAGGCCGAGTACCTCGGCCGCATCGATGGATCTCAAGTCAAGGTCAGAGGCGCGCGTCTGGAGCTTGGCGAGGTCGATGCGGCTCTGCAGAAGGCTCTGGCCGGAACGACTGGCCGTCCAGCCATGGCTGTCACGCTGCTTGCCGAACATCCGCAGATCGCGGGACCTGCACGCCTCGTCTCGTTCGTCTCAGACACCGCGCAACGGGCAGACACCGCAAACATTGGCGCCAATGATCTGGTACGGCTCGACCAGCGCTCAAAGGAACTCGCCCATACACTTCGTCGGGCGGTGCGTTCGAAGCTTCCGCAGTACATGGTGCCAAGCCAGGTCGTCCCGCTCGCCTATCTGCCACTGTCGACACTGTCGGGCAAGGCCGACCAGAAGGCGCTGCGTACGCTCTACCAGTCGGTCGATCCACGCAGCCTGGGAGTCTCGGACGCAACAGAGCAAGGTCGTGACGCCACCGAGGACGAGAAGAGGATCGCCGACATCGTCTCCAGCACGCTGCGACTTGGGAAAGACATCACCCTATCGCCCAGCACGGATCTCATCTCGATCGGCCTCGACAGCTTGTCGGTCGTCACGCTGGCGGGAAGGCTGCGCAAGGCTGGAATTTCCGTCACGGCCACAGCCATCATGAGCGATCCCACGATTGAATCCATCGCCTCGCAGAGCCAGGCCGGCGGTGTCGACGCAACGGGGCAGTCGAGCCGGTTCGAGGCCGACGTTCAAGCGCGGACAGAGAAGGCCCGCAGCCTGCCTTCGATGTCCGGCAAGGGGATCGAGAAGGCGCTGCCGTGTGTGCCTCTGCAGACTGCCCTTGTCGCACAAGCCCGCTCGGAGTCGGCCTCGACCCCGCGCTACATGACGACAGTCTCGATCGACATCCAGGGCACCTTCCCGCCGCAGCAGGTGCAGCAGGCATGGCGAGAGGTGCTGCAGCGCCACGACATCTACCGAACGGTCTTTGTCGACATCGACGAGGAGCTCTCGCAAGTCGTCCTGGACGCATCGAGCTGTCCCGACGTTTGGTACGCCCAGATCGGATCCAACCCCTCGCCATCCGAGCTGCATAGCCACCATCAGCGAACCGCTCGCGAGATTGTCGACTCGTTCTCCGAGCGCCCGCCACTCAGGCTCAAGCTGTGGCACGGCGACCACGATTCGCAGCAAATCTCGCTGACTTGCTCGCATGCCATCTACGACGGTACGTCCCTCAACCAGCTGCTACGAGAGGTCGCATCCTGCCTTCGTTCCGAAGAATTCCCAAACAGCGGTCAATTCATCGACGCCGTCCGCGAGATTGTCGGTCAACCTATAGATGCCGGAAAGCGCTTCTGGACTGCCCAACTCGAAGGGTTCAGCAGGACTGCCATGCCTCGGCTGACTGGCAAGAAGGTCTCTGCCTCAGAGCCGGCTGGCAGCGGCGAGCTGACCGTTCAATCGTCGCATCGGTACTCGGAGCTCGAGGCGGTCGCGCGATCGCGCGGTGTCACGGTTCACTCCCTCCTCCTTGCGTCCTACGGCAAGCTGCTCGCCGAGTACGTCGGCGAAGACGACGTCACCATCGGGCTCGTTCTGGGCGGTCGCACTCTGAACGTCGACAACATCGACCTGATACACGGACCGTGCGTGACAACGGTACCCTTCCGGTTCCGCCAGGCGCGCCGTCACGACGTCGATGCGCTGTCGCGTTTTACCCACCGCGGCATCAACGACGTCCTGCCGTTCCAGCATGTGTCGCTCCCGCAGCTCATGCGCTGGATCGGCATGGATCAGTCGCCTTTCGAGGCGCTGTTCAGCTACCTCGGAGCGCGATCGGAGACGGCCTCGTCGGTTCCCTTCGTTGAGAGGAGCACGATCATGGAGAAGGACTACCCTCTCGCCGTCGAGGTCGGTGCTGTCGGCGACAAAGTGTCGCTGCACGTCGCCTTCTCGACTCAGACCATGCCACAAGAGCATGCCGCACTCTTCCTCGAGCAGCTCGACCACGTCATCGGCGGGGTCCTCGCCGCGTCCTCGCCGCCGTCAGCGGATGAAAAGCACCTGTCGATCCTCAACAGGGAGTGCTACGTCCCTAGCTCGGACTCTGAGACGTTCCTGGCTCGCTTCGCGGCTCAGGCGGCCGGCACTCCACGCGCCATTGCCATCGTCTTCGCCAAAAGCCTCGAGGCCGAAGCGGTTGCCCTCACCTACGAGCAGCTCGATACGATGTCGGACACCATCGCTCGCCACCTCATCCAGCAGTCGAGCGACGTCATCGGCGTCCACCTCACAAAGGACGGTCCTGAGCTCTACGCTGCGATGCTCGCCGTGTGGAAGGCCGGAAAAGTCTACCTGCCCCTCGATCCGAGCCTGCCGCGAGACCGTCTCGAGTACATGCTCGAGACTGTTGGCAAAGCCCCCGCGATCACCAACATGGCGACCCGCGCGACGCTGGATGACTTCGATTCCGAGTCGCTTGACATCCAGGACCTGCTCCGGCCTGCTGACCCGTCGGCCAGTCTTCCGAAGCCGAGCCTCGAGGCGGCTTGCTACCTCTTGTTCACCTCCGGCTCGACCGGCCGACCCAAGGCGGTGCAAATCGGGCACAAGGCGCTCTCGGGCGCCATCTACTCGTGGGAGCGGATGCTTCCGTGGTCGAAGCAGTCGCGCTTCCTCCAGCTCGCTTCAATCGGATTCGACGTGTCGCTGATTGAGGTCTGCATGCCGCTGGCGCTTGGATTTTCGATTGGCACCGCTCCGAAAGAGGCCCTCATCGAGGATCTGACCACCGCCATTCACCGGCTGGGCATCACCATCGCCGACCTGCCAGCGGCTCTGGCGGGTACAGTGCACCCGGATGACGTCGAGCTCGAGTGGCTCATGAGCGGTGGCGATGCCATCGACGAGCGCGTGATCCACGACTGGACCTCGGCCGGTCGAGTGCTGATCAACGCCTGGGGCCCGACCGAGACGACCATCGGCTCGAGTCTTGGCCAGGTCAAGCGAGGCGGTTCCCGCTCCAATGTCGGTCAGGTCTACCCGGCCTGCTCGATGTTCGTCCTCAAGGGAGATTCCGTCGAGCCGGTATTGCGCGGGGCGATCGGAGAGCTTGCTGTGGGCGGCCCGCAGGTGGCCGACAAGTACTTTGGCAGGGACGACTTGACCGCTGAAAAGTTTGTCTACCTCGCCGACGGCACGAGGGTCTACCGCACTGGCGACCTGGGTCGTTTCCTGATCGACGGCAGCGTCGAATGCCTCGGCCGTATCGGTGCGGACCGCCAGGTCAAGGTCAATGGCCAGCGGGTCGAGCTCGATGAGATCTCGCAGGCACTTTCGATGCACGTCGATGTCCGAGACGCCGATGTCCAATACCTCAAGCACCCCGAGATGTCGTCCAAGCAGCTCGTCGCCTTTGTCGCGCCGCACCAGACGGCTCGCAGCACAGGCCCGGACATTGCGCTGCGCGAGGACGCTGCAGCTGTTGAGCTTGTCAGCAAGCTCGAGCAGGAGGCGACGAAGCGATTGGCGCCTTATATGGTGGGTGGTGCCGTTGAAAACTTCTCGTGTTGGTGCTGCCATGCTAACCTCCTCTGAGCTGCCTTCGCGATCCTTTCCTACCCCGGACGTCAGATTCCCACGCAATGGCTGGTCGTGGACGGCAATCTTCCCCTCACGCCCAACAACAAGGTGGATCACAAGGCCCTTGCTGCGCTCTTCGCAAGCACCGACACGTCTATGCTGAGCCGCTTCGGCGCGATGAGAGAGGAGGCGCTCTCCCATGGTGCGTGGACAGCAGTCGAAGAGGAGCTGCGAGATCTCATCGCCGACTTTTGCGACGTACCCGTTGCGAATATGACCAAGACCACCTGTGAGTGTCCTCTTTCTACTGCCGGCCCGAAACGGCGTGACGGCAAAGCTGACCATAATGCCCTTCTGCCTTGTTATATTCACAGCTTTCCATCGCCTCGGCATCGATTCCATCACGGCAATCAAACTGGTCAAACGGCTGCGCAATGCAGGCTACCGAGTCAGCGTCTCCGACATCCTCAGCTCGCCCTTCATCGGTTCTCTCGCGGAGCGACACGGAGAAGCCACCGACGGTGTCGCATCGACCGTCGATACCGCAGGAGATCTGCGCAGGCATATCGAGACCAAGGCGTCAGTGAGCGACTGGCAGCTCTCCTCGCGCGACGAGATCATTTCGGCGCTGCCGTGCACGCCTCTGCAGGCTGGCATGATCACCCAGACTCTCGCCAGCGGTGGCAAGCTCTACTTCCACCATCATGCGTTCCGGGCCAGAGCCACGCCACCGACGGCGGTTGTCGCCGCTTGGAAGACGCTGGCATCGCGACTCGACATTCTCAGGACGACCTTCCACTCGATCGAAGATGAGCGACCGTGGGTCCAGGCAGTCCACGCCAATTGCGAGCCTTGTGTTTTCCAACATGCCGGACGCTTCGATCACGCGGCAGCCCTCGAAGAGGTCGAGGGACAGGCCGTGTTCGGCGACGTTCAGGCCTTTGCAGAGCCCCCTCACGCTCTGCACCTGTGGGCCGATGGAGAAGGTTGCGCGTTCGTTCTGGGCATTCATCACGCTCTCTACGACGCTGCATCCCTCCCACTCCTCTTCCGGGATCTCGCTTCGCTCCTATCGGGTTCCGAGAGCCAGGCCTTGGAACGCGCACCTTTCTATCAGCTCGTGCCACGCCTCCTGCCCACCGACCAAGATACCCAGCACTGGTCAAACGAGCTCCGAGACCTCCGAGCGGGCCTGCTGCGCAACAGCAAGAAGCAAGATGTCGCCGACGGGCACGCGGTGGAGGCGGAGCATGTCGTCTCGCTGCCCATCAAGGCGATCCAGCAGAGCTGCCAGAGGAGTGGCGTGACGATCCAGGTCCTGGCGACGCTCGCCTATGCCAAGCTGCTAGCGCTGGAGACGGGGTCGGCCGACGTCTGCTTCGGCCAGATCTTTGGCCTTCGAGACGGCGCCGACAACGGCGAGACGAGCGTCGGACCGGCACTCAACACCGTCGCCACCCGCGTACGCTTCGACGATCGGGAGCGCTCCGTCGCTGAGCAGTTGCAGCGAATGCAGAAGGCGAACGACGCGGGTCGACCTCACCGCAAGGCTTCGCTGCGAGACGTCCAGCAGGCGGCCGCTCGCTCGGGTGTCCGGGCACCGCTCTTTGATGCCTTGTTCGACTTCCAGATCATGGGCGAAGATAATGACGACAGCGGATCGCCTGAACCGTTGCAGCCCGTCGCCATCGGAGTGGACGACGGTCCGCCGCAGTACGCCCTCAACGTCGAGTTTGTTCAGGGCGCCGAGAGGATGACGCTCGTCTCGACGGCCGACTCAAGCGTTTACAGCGAGAAGGCTCTCGCGGCAGCGCTCGACCGCCTCGAGAAGATCCTCGTCCATCTCGTCGAGGAGCGTTCCGAAGTGTCGATCACGCAGTTGCCCTTCGATGACCTCGAGTTCCCCACTGCGGCCTCGGTGGGCCCCAACGGCGGTTTGGAGCGAGAGCAAGCGGCGGGCGAAGCTCGTCTCCCGGAGACGGCCGACGGCAAGCGTCTTGCCGAAGTGATTGCGCAGGTTGCCGGGGTCTCGGTGGACAAGATCCACTCGTCGATGCGCCTCAGCTCGCTCGGCCTCGACTCAATCTCGGCCATCCGCATCGCATCACTCGCGCGCCGTCAGGGGCTCGTTCTCGGCGTGGCTGACATCGTCTCGGCAGAGACCGTCGAGGGCATCGTCGATCTTGTCAGCTCCAAAGCAGAGCAGCGGAAGAAGGCCGGCGCCTCCGCAGGTCAGACGGCCGTGTCAGCAGCGGTCCATCAGGCAGCATTGGCACAGCTCGACCTCCGCGCCGACGCGATCGAGAGGATCCTCCCTCTCCTCTCGGGCCAGGCGGTACTCGCCGCCGGGTGGCTCGAATCGGGCAAGCGCTTCGGCGTCTACAGCTTCACCTTCCGCGCGCCTCAACGTCTCGACTCGAAGCGCCTCAACGAGGCCTGGACGAAGCTGCAGCAGCGCCACGCCATCCTGCGCACCGCCTTCCTCGCCGTCCAACGAAAGCCGTACCAGGTCGTGCTCAAGTCGGGGCAGGAATGTGCTGCGGTTCGAGAGGAAGCCGTCGACTCTAGCCGCTTGGAAGAGGCGGCAATGGACGCGATCCGCGCGGCCAACGCTGCCCCCTGGGACCTGCGCACGCCGCCGATTCGGCTGACGCACATCTCCAGCGCTGCTGCCTCCGACAACGACGGCGGAAGCGTGGTGGTGCTGAGCCTGCACCATTTGCTCTACGACGCCTTTTCGCTCGACCTGCTCGTGCGCGACCTGCAAGCCCTCTACGCAGGATCCGATTGCCCGAGCACGTCGAACTGGGCCGACTATGTCGATCATCTCTCGGCCACCACGTCTTCGGAGGCCTCGGCTCGCTTCTGGAGGCAGTCGCTGCAGCACGCCGATGCCGCAGTGCTGCCATCGACGTCGAAAGATGAGGCGGGCAAGGCCGAGGCCGACGAGATCTTCACCTTCCATCCGGCCATCCTCCAGGACTTTATCCGATACGAGCAGCGCCTCCGCGCACGCCAGACGAGCCTGCAGGCGCTCTTCATCGCTGCGTGGTCGCGCCTCCTCTCGTCGTGGACGGGCAAGGCGTCACCCCTGTTTGCCGTCTTCCAGCTGGGCCGCTCCGCCTCGTTCGACGGCATCGAGAGGCTGGCGGCGCCGCTCATGTCGATTCTGCCCATGGCGCTCGAGCCGTCGCCGTCTGCAGACCGGCCATCTGGATCGGTCGCCGATCTGGTAGAGTCGTCGCGGGACGTCGCGCACCAGCTGCGCCGACGTGCCGAGTTTGAGCAGACGGACCTGGCCGACATCGCCCGAGCGGCAGGATGGGGCACCGAAGAGGCACGTTGGAACACTTATATCAACGTCCTCATCCCTCCGTCACCATCTCCGTCGTCGTCGGAGCAGGACGTCGAGGGATGGCAAGAGGTCAAGCTAGGGCAACCGACCGACTTTGTCCCGCCCAAGCCGCTCCAGTACGCCTCGACGCTCGACGCCATCGAGCATGCGCCCCTCGTGCGGTCCGACGTGGCCGTCGACGTCGCCCTCGACCCCGCCACGGACAGCGTGACGGTGGGCATCCGGGCCAAGAAGAGCATCCTCGACGCCGACCGGGCGGCAGAGGTCGCACGACAGCTCGCGCGCGACGTCAGGGAGGCGCTCGAGCAGCTCGACTAGACACGAGGCGCATAAAGGCGCCCTCTGTCTCGGCAAGCGTGGCCGAACGAACACAAGAGAGGAAAGAGAAGGGGAATTTGCCATTGCGTCGTAGGAGGGAGAGGACTGACAGGCATGCAAACGAGTGTAAATAGACGATCGGTTGGCGCTTCGACGCCGACTTGATACAGGCTGCCGCCGAGAGCGCTGCCCTGTCTTAGAATTGCAGTAGATTTGTCTCCTGAGCCTGCTGCTGCTGCTGCTGCTGCTGCTGCTGCTGCTGTGGTGGCTGTTGCTGCGGCTGTCCAAACGTGCTCTGTCCAAACGCGCTCGTCGGCTGGAAGGGCTTGATGCCTCCAAACCCGGTCGGTTGGGGCTGGACACCATTCGACGGAGTCGACGGCGGCCCAAACGCGCTCGAGGCTCCCGTACCTGCGCCCATCCCGGATGTACCGAAGAGCGACGACCCGAAGCCGGTCGCCTGCGGCTGCACGCCGTTGCTACCGGTGGTCAATGGGTTGAAGGCGCTGCCAAAACCTGTTGCCTGACTCGACACGCCGCCCTGACCTGGGGTCTGAGATGAGGGTGGCTGAGGCGACGCGACACGCGCGAACGGATTGCCTGTGGCCTGCGGCGCAAGCGGGCCGGCCGACGGCGTGGAAAACGCCGGATTGGCAGCCAGGCTGGCGCCAAAGCTCGACTCGGGCTTGAACGGCTTGACCGTGCTCCCCCCGAATCCTGTGGGCTGTGGTTGCAGCGGCGCCGTGCCAGTCGTCGTCGTGCTCAAAGTGCCGAGGTTGCTGCTGCCTCCGAAGGACATGGCGTCAAAGCCCGACGTCAGGGAGCCTGCGTTGACGCTGGTCCCGGCCCTGGTCGAGGGGGTGGCGGGGGCGGGCGAGGCGGCATTCTGCTGTCGGTTGCCAAACGCAAACTCGGAAGCGATGCTGCCGATCATGCCAGTCGGCTGAGGCTTGAGGCCGGAAGTCTGGGCGTCGGGCTGCTGGTTCTGCTGCGAAGTGGCGTTTTGCGCGCTTCCTCCGGCGCCGCTCGCTCCGTCCCAAGCATTGGCGCCGAGGCCATAGTGTCCTCCGTTGGGCGCGGACGTGGCAAACGCGTTCATGGCCAGCTCATTGAGCGACGGTCCGGACTTTGTGGCCGGCGGTGGCGATGCAGGAGGAGTCTGGCCTGGAGGCGGCGCAAAAGGGTTGCGCGATCCAGTCTTTTGCGGCATCAGGGGCTTTGGCGATGTCACCCGGCCGGCTGGTGCTGCAGAGCTCGGTCGCTGCAGGTTTGAAGCCGAACCGCTCGACGGCACGCTGCCGAACGCCGAGTTGAAGGCGGATAACGCGTTGGAGGAGCTACCGTTGGTCTGTTGACCCGACACTGGGCCGCTGCCGAAGGCATTGTTCGAGAAGGCTCCGGTCGCCTGCGACTGGATCTGCTGCTGTGGCTGTGGCGTTTGAGGCGGCTGCGCTTGCGCCTGGAACGGAGATTGCGCCTGTCCCTGGCCCTGCTGGCCGAACATGCCGCCCTGATTGGCCCCCATGGCGCCAAAAGGATCCCCCATGCCCGTCGCTTGAGGCATCAGCGACTGTCGGAACGGATTGAAGCCGGTGGGTTGCGCTTGCAAGAAGCCAGTCGGCTGCGCCTGCAGGAATCCGCTCTGCTGCTGCGGCATGCCCGAGCCCATCCCCATGCCGGTACCCATCTGGGTCATCCCAGTCATCTGCGGCGCCATTACGCCGCCAGCCTGCTGCTGCATGAACGGGTTGTAACCCGTCATCTGCGGCTGCAAACCAGCGCCCGTGCCCATGCCAGGGCCGAAGCCCATGCCAGTCTGCTGTGGCATCACGCCGAAGAAGCTCTGCTCGACGGGGATATTGGAAAAGGCGTTGCCCTGGCCGCTGTCGATTGACTCGAAAAAGTCCTGCAACGCCTGGTTGTTGGTGGGCGGTTTGACCGGACGTTCGGGCTTCTCGGGTTCCTTGATGGTGATGCTCTTCTTGGACTCGCTCTTGGGGACCGATGCCGAGGTGGTCGACGTGGCAGGCTTTGATGCGGTGCCATCAGCCACCTTCTTGTTCTCCTTGTACTCCTGCCGATTCTGCTCGAAGTTGGGGTCGTTGAGGTACTCCTGTAGCGCCCCAGCCAACGAGACTGGAGCGTGTCGGAGGGTGGGGATGGCGACATTGAGGCTGTAGGCGGCCTTTTTTGCCGAGTTGAGGTAGGCGACCACCTTCTCCGTCTGACGGCAGAAGCGCTTGTAGAGCTCGAGGGCGCGTTCGGCATCCGACCTGGCCATCTCAAAGTAGTGTTCGAGGATGTTGATGACGCCCTCGTTGATGGCAGTGTAGAGCGCCAGCAGGTCCTTGAGCGACATGCGGAACGCCGACATGGTGAGATCATCGTTGAGGTCGTCGTGGAAGAAGGGACACTGGAGCAGGGCGTTTGCCACCTTTTGCGTCACCGAGACCTCCCTGAGCAGGCCCTTTTCCACGCTGAGCCGCCGCAGCCGGTTGCTGTTGCTGCCGCCACCCCCCTGAGCCCTCGATCGATCGCTGGACCGGATAACATCGTGCTTGAGCTCGCGGTACGCCCGGATCCGCTCATCCAGGTACTGCGCGTAAGGCGTCAGACTCGCGCCAGATTCATAGCCTTCGTAGGGCAGAGGCAGTTCAAAGGAAGGTAAGAGGGCCGGAGGAGAAGATCAGTCTCAGGCACCCGTTGACGAAAGGCGACCGAGGAAGCGGACCGCGCAAAGACCAGAGATGGAGCGGAAGCCACTTACCTCCTGTGATGTTGCGAAGCCGCAGATTGGCGCTTTCGGAAGCAAGGTGGCTGAGGACATTGTCCACCTCGCCGTTGCGCGCCATGGTATGGATGATGATAAGACATTTGAACACGGTCTGCTCGATGCCGGATGCCATGTAGAGAGAAGAGCGCCGCAGTGTTCAGTATTGCCATCGCCACCATGCGAGGGACGCGCAAAGGGGTTGCAGGAAAGACTCACAACGTTGCTGTTGTCCCGCAGCCTCTGGGAGAGGGCGGTACAGACGCTCTGCAGGCTGCCATCGGTGGCGAAGGTGGTGGCCAGGATTGGGTCGATATATTTTGGCTTGATGCCGCCAGCCTTTGGCTTGGTGGCCGACCTGACCACTTTGTCGTAGCTGCGAAACGAGGCGGAGAGCGAAGGACCGGAGCAGAGCGTCAGCCTCAGCACCTCACGATGGATGCCAGTACTCGGGAGCTCGAGTGCAGCGGCAGCGGCAGGGGGCAGCCTGAGGCTCACTTGGACATGGTCGTTCAGGCTCGTCGAGTGTGGCGCGGGACTTGCTGCGGTCGTCTGAAGGTCACAAGGGAAGAGGGTGCGTGTCTTGGGCGACACGACGAGCTGGCGGCCCAATCGCTTGCACAGGCCCTCTGGATCTGAAGCCGGGGCGAGGGGCTGGGCGTTGGCGAGCCAGCGGTTTTGTCGTCCTTGCGCTATCGCGAGCCAGCTGTGACGAGGATCTGTTGACGGATCGCGAGGGGCGGGCGGATGTAGTGTATGGAAGCGTCGCGGCAGAAGGGCGATGCCGATCCGAGAAGCCAGAGGGTGGTGAAGGGATGCTACGGATGATGGAGGCGACAAGTGCGGGGTTGGGCCGAGGGTCTGGCTTCCCAATCGAACGAAGGGCAGCAACGCGGTGGCTCAGAGGCGAGGCGAGCGACCAAAAGAGGTGCGGCCAGACCAGGCCGGGTGACGGCATCGACTCGGCCAGCGCGGCTCGCCTGCCCCGCTGCACCCTGGGCAGGCCTCCAGGCCGGGCCAGGCCAGGGCCTTGCTTCTTTTCGTGGCCGCCAGCTAAACCAGGTCTGGACCGTGCGCGCGGCCCCGATCCAGCACAGCATCTCGCTTTGCCCCGAATCAACGACCAGGCTCGCCCCCCATCGCCACCGCCACCTCCGCAGTCGCCTTGGCCACCATTGCCTGTTTGCTCATCCGAATCAGATGTCAGTCCAGAAACATCGCTGCGCGTACAATTACAGGTCGGTCAATGGACCGGAGAACGGGGAACAAGACGTGTGACACCGGCATTCACAGGGAGCTCTGCACCTTGGGCAGCACGGTGTCGTGCAGGAACTTTTCGAGCTTGGTCGCGCTCTTGGCGTACGGCGACGAGGCCGGGTTGTACTTGCGGCAATTGTCAAAGACTGGCCGATGGGCAAAGCGAGACGAGCAGGAACAGCGAGGCGGGTAGTCAGCATGACACGTCGCGCTCCACGCGAGCCACGGGGGTCGCAAACACTCACTGAGCTGCGCATCCTTGACCAGCTCGTCGACGTTGGCATACTGGTTGTTTTCCAGCTTGGCTTCCATCGTCGACAGGTCTGATGTCGTCCACGGGAAAGGAGGAGGCTTGTGGTCAGCCCGACTGCCCTTGCAATGTCACCACGCTCTTATCCCCTCGTGTCCTCCCCCTCCCTCCCCTCAGCTCCGCCCGCTCAGACTCACCCATTGGGTTCTTGATCACATCGAGGTAGTCGGTCACCTCCTCCGTGTTGACCGGGTTGACAAACGGCCATGCGCTGCCGTGACCGTTGAGTTCGACCAGGATGTGGCGCATGACGGCAAAGTGGGGTCCGCGTTTCGGCCTGCGGCTCAGCTCGTCCATCTCGGGCGTCCAGCCGCTCTCGCGGAGGCCTGGCACGTCTTTCGGGTCAACCAAGAACGTCGCCGTCGGATCGTCGGGTCCCTCCTCCTCGCCCTCCCTCTTGGTCGGCACGCCCACCGTGCCGTCCGGCTTCTCGATCAGGCCCTTGGCCCGGATCAGCCGGTCGCGGTCCTTGAACACCTCGAGACCCGGATGGACGATGTGGCTGCGGCTGATGGTGCGGATCTTGGCCAGGATCAGTTCCTTTTGCTTGGCCAGCATGTCTTGCAACTCGAGGTACGCAACACGCGGCACCATGGTGCACTGCATCAGCGTGCCGCCCTCGTAGTCCTTGATGTAGCCCACCCAGATCTCGCGGTCGAGGTTGATCTCCTTGGTAAAGCCCTGCTTCTTAAAGTAGCCGATGGCGTAGTTGTCGGCGTACGTGAGGAAGTGCATCACCGGCGAGCTCGCCTTGACATGATCCTTGAGGTGGTTCATCAGATGCGAGCCGTAACCCTGTGGTGCGGCGCACAAAGAGAGGGAGGGGAAGGATGGCGTCAGCATGCTTTCGACAGCTAACGCGACGTCGGCTGTGCATGGCGGACTCGGAATCGGGCGATCGAGACCTGCTCGCACTACGCTGCAGCGCCGGCGCTCACCTTGACCTGCTCCGTGCTGGTGATGGCGCAGAACACAATCTCTGCAAACTTGCGCTGCTTGAAGGGCCGGTAGGTGATGCCGCCGACCACCTGCAGACCGCGTTTGACGATGGCCAGGCTCTGGTGGTTGCGGTCAAACACGAGGCGGGTGATGTACTCTCTCGGCATCTTGGGCAGCTGCCGCTGGAAGATGTTTTTGAGGCCCATGAGCAGAATCATCGATTCGGGGTTGCCGTCGTTGGTGACCACTCGGAATTGAATCAGACCTGTCCGCTCCTCGATCACGGCGGGCCGCTCCTTTTTGGGCGCCACTCCTTCTTCGACGGCCGATGCTGCGCTCTTCGGCTCCACCTCGTCCGTCTCGAGATTCTCCTGCTTGACCTCGGTTGAGTCGTCAGTCGCTTTCTTCTTGTCTGCGTCTGCGTCTGCGGCCAGGCCCTCGGCCTCAGCCGCCGGTTCCGATACGCCGGCCTTGCCCTCCCCGTCGCTCTCTCCTCCATCCTCGGCATCTCCGGCGTTAAACATCCGTCGGCGCTTGGCAAGATGCTCCGAATCGCCGCTGGCCCTCTCTGGCATGGTGGAAGCCTGCCGAGAGCCAGAGTTCGAGGGCTGGGCCATCTCTGGGCTGGAGAGGCGGCTTGACGTTGCAACAGAGGCGTCGCGGTCCCTGTACGGCGAGACCGAACGCGACTGAGATCGGGCCTTGCGCTTGCGGTTGAGAGACTTGAGCAGCGGCGTCGACGAGGACGGGCCGCCAGACCTTTCATTGCCGGAGGGTATCGCGCTGCTGGCAAGGTGCGGGCTGGGCGTGGCATCGGGTAAGGGGCTGAGTTGGGATGTTGGGCTAAGGTCTCTGATGCCCTGGCTGATCGAGTGCGGCAGCTGCATCTGCTTGCGCAGCGAGAGGACGCCGTCGTCGGCGTAGGCGAAGTCGAGCAGCTTGCCCTCGTCTTCGAGCAGCTCGTCGATCCTGACTGCGACCTTGAGCCTTCTGATACGCTCCGTCGGGTCGAGGCTGTCTGCAGCGGCATGGCCGGTGACGCTGAGGGCGCAAGCAGCGCACGGTTGAGACGACCAGGCGGCTCGGAGCTGGTCGTCGCGCGAATCATCTGGCGTCGCATCCACCTCGGACACGGGGTCCACTGCCAGAACCGCGTCGGACGAGGGGCGGTAGCCGGAGCATGTGGGTTTTTGCGACGAAGGCGTGTGCCGTGCGAGCTTGAGCGTCTGTTGGAAAGGGGTGAGCTGAGTGTGTACTTTTGCGCCCGAGGGGTACAGCAGGGATGCCATTGCTAGATCATCCGAGGAGGTGGATGGCGTGGTAGTTGTAGGTAGGTCGAGCACAGCCACGCCTTTGGATGTGGGTCGGTGCCGGAGGTGCCGGAGGTGTTGATGGTTGGTTGGGTTGGTGGCGAGGGATCAAGACAGCTGCTGGCGCGTCAGAGTGGCCTGTCGGCCTGGCGGTTGGCCTGCCCTGCCTGACCCTGAACTGCCTGGTCTGCCTGTTGCTCTCTCTCTCCACACTCTTTCGCGTCGGTCGGCGACCAAGCCGAGCCAAGCTGCTGCTGCTTGCTCGTTGGCCTGCCTGCCGCCATCTCGGAAGTCGGGCCCACCCTGCCTCGTGCCGGCCTGCGTGCATCTCGCTGCCCCTTCCTTAGCTTGCCTTCCCCGTACCTCTCACCACCACCACTGCCATCACCATCGCTGCCGCCACCGTACTTATAGCCTCGCCCGCGGTCGACCGCCACAGCGTGCAAGGCCGCTTTGCCGCCGCCAACGCCACCGCCAAGATGTACTGCCTTCGCTGGTGGATCCCCCTCTTCCTCGTGCCCTTCCCAAAGGTCAGCCCGTTCTTCCTCATCCTCTTCCTCCTCTCGTTCACCCTCCACTCTCGACCCTGCGTCTATTGCGCATTGATCCTCTTCGGCCTCTTTGCCACTTCGGTCAACTGGTACCCTGAACTCGGGCTCGGCCCCAGTCCGGTCACCATGACCACCTCGACGCAAGAGGCCATTTCGCCGAAACCTGAGGCGGCGCCCTTCTACCCCGGATCGATCCTCGCATCCATCGACGCCGCGCCCACCGGATCGGCTGTACCCACGCAGACGGGCATCGTCCCTCCTGCTGTGGAACAAGTCCTGTCCAATGCAAGCAACCAAACGGCCTCAAGAGCCAAGGCGACCCGCGGCTGGCTGCATTTCGGCGGCGACAGCTTCGTGCACTTCTGGGATCCGATTCGTCCGCACAGGCAGAATCTGACCGCAACCGTCCCTGCCTCCGGAACTGACGAGAAAGACCTTGCGAGCGAGGCTGCCTCTTGCGCGCGAGGCATTGCTGCGTCCTTCAAGCTGCCCTCTGCATTGACCGACAGCCTGCTCTGGCTTGGCCTGGACGTCGAGCGGGTCGTCGTTCCGGAGAAGGTCTTTGTCGGGCTCGGAAGGGCGGGCGGACTTGGCTTCTGGATCAATCTCGTGCCCGGCGGCGGCGAAGGTCCGCCAGCGGCCCCAATCAGGACGTTCACAAGCTGAGCCGGTGGAAAGCAGGCGCTCCTTCCGCAACCCTTAAACTGTACTTGTAGGACTGTCACAATCGCATCGGGACACTCTCTGGCCGAAGGGAGCGCGATCAGACCGAATGCCGAACCTATAGGCAGAAGCTACGAGGCGGCTCCAGGGCTCGGACCGGTAGGTTGCCTGACCAGGCTGTCAGCCAAGCGGCAGTCTGACCCGCTCTCGGCCTGTGACTAAGGAAACTCTGGTTCTGAGCGGAGCCGTGCAAAAGGCTTCGCCTCGTATGCATTGACGAGTGCCAACTGCGCAGCCAGATGGCCCGACTATCGTTGTTGTAGGCCATGCTCGTACCGCAGGTAGCCAGCACAGTCTGCGCATATGGGTCCGATGGCGGGGTCGAGGATCCCCGCTGCCTTCCAGCGTGGGGAGAGGGCGAATATCGGGGCAGGGGCTGGTAGGTAGATCGGGCGAGAGCGGTCGCTTGGCGCCCGGCGGAGCAAGCGACATGCATGACGTCCTCTTGCTGGACCCCTTCCCAGCCAGACCTGCTCGACGTGCTGGCTTTGGCGGGAGACCTCCTTCGTTGCCATCCACCAGCGCCTCGAGGACCTGCCGAAGAGGTCGCAAACACAACCTCGGCCACGACGCGGCAGCAGCGCTTCCAAGATCTCAACGGCCATCAACCTTAAGAACGAACGCTGCGAGCCAGCGCCTATACCGACGGGCAAGCAGCCTCGAATGAGCTCTTCGGAAACTACTGCGCCGGCCTCGATCGTGCGGCCGGGGCGCGCGCCGGAGGGTCCACCCGGATGGGAGGATGAGCGCATCCGCAAGGAGCAGGCAGCTGCCGAGCAGAGGCAATCCGATCAGGCGGGCGGAGCGGGCGGCCTGCAAAGCATGAAGGACCGGTTGCACAAGATTGGCGAGAAGCTGGACCTGGTTGAGCCCAAGGATCCCGCGCAGCAGACGCAGGCGCAGCAGCAGGTGAGCATAGTCGAATGCTGTGGGCAGATGGCCGAACGCTGAAGAGAAGAGGGCTGACCGAATCCGTGCTTCTCCTGCACCGCCGTCGTCGTCGTCGTCGTCGTCGTCGTCGCCGTTGCCGGAATCTCTCCTTCGCCACTTGGCGTTGCGTAGAACGCGAGCACAGGTCCAGAGTTTGCGCCGCAGCAAGAGCGATGACGCGGTCGCCGCAGTGCAACTCCTGCTTAGATCCTGTACTGTCGCCTCGCTGTTGAACGAAGTTGCCGTGGACCGCAGCACTACGTGATGGCGAGCGGCCGACCGTGCGCCCGAGTGGCGCGGTTTCTGAGAGAGACGTTCAGGCTGTCTCGATGGCCGCGGGCGAGAGTGTGCATCGCTTTGCCAGGCATACAGAAGCAAGTAGTGTAACGTGTCGCTGGCTGATGTATACGTGTAGCTACGCGGCCGTCGGCGCGGCATCGCTCCGTCACCCTCCTGAGTGCCTGCCTCCTCATCATCCGACCCTTGCGAGGCAAAGGTGGTCGGCCCCGACGCGAGCGCGTAGATGCACGTCCTTGGCCTGCCTCGGCCCTGCTAGCTCTTGTTTTTTGGCCGTCGCGATGAGTGCATCGTCGAGGGAGCCTAGGCCTATGCCTGTGGCCTGCCTGCGCTCAGACGCGTGTGCTTGGGCAGGCAGCCAAGCCTGGGCAGGCAGGTGGCCGGCCTGCTGGCCCTTGACCGTCCCGAGTCCGTTCGCCGCGGGCTGGAAATTTTGAGGTTGGGTGGGGGGGCTGCCCACCTGCCCGGCTGCCTTCGGCCTCCTTCCCGACGACGACACCGACGACACACACAGATAGAGAGCGACAGAGTCTTAAGAAGCTCGACAGGCTCGCACCAGACACCCTAGGTCACACCCCACCTTCCGCCTGCCTGCCTACCTACCTGCCTGACAGGCACGACCAACACGCAACCTGCCTCGGCTTGCCTTTCGACGGCCTCTACGGCCCTACCAAGCTCGCTACTACTACTCACCCTTGGGAACCGTAATCTGCCGCAACGCATCCCGCATCGTCGCATCTCAACCTACGCCACTCCTCTGTGCCCTCTAATAGACCGGCCTGCTAGGCGGCCACCCGCTTGCCACGGGTACGCGCGACGGCAACTACCAGTCTCCCTTGGACTGCAGCTTCGGACCAGCACCACCGTCGGATCCCATGTCGAGGCACCCCCACTCGACCCCTTCCTCTCCCGTTATCCTCAGCAGCGACGATCAGAGCCGCCCCGCTACTCCCAAACAGCGTGCACCGAGGATCCTCGTCCCCGACTCGAGTCCCTTGACCTTCCCAGACCACGTCTCGCCCGCTCGCAGGCCTGCCGCCGCCCGGCCAACCTCGTCAAGCCACGCTCGTCCCACCATGTCCGGCGCACGCTTCCAGTCCGCCATGCAGGGCAATCGCTCATCGCTCGCAAAGAGCCAGTTCGCTCCGCCCGCCTCCAACGGCAGCTCTTTGTCGTCCCCTGCCAAGGACGCGTCGGTCTTTCGATCCTCGATCGAACACTTCAAGTACGGCACCGACACCAAGGCAAGCTCCAAGGAAGGCTCTCGCGCCGCTATCGACGTCGATGCCCGCGGCAGCGACGACGACGCAAAGCCGAAGCCGAAGAAGCGGCGGCTAGTTCGTGGCGGCGGAGCGGGCGGGCAGTCTGACGAGGGCGACAGCGCCACGACCTCGAACCGCACCTCCCCGACGCCCTCCACCAGCAGGACCACGACGCCCATCCCTCTGTCCTCTAGCGGAACAGGCAACGGCTCTGCTGCTCGAGAGTCGGCATCTTCCGACGTGCTACTGCGGAAAGCCATACGCTTGCACAACGTCTACTCCGGCTACGAAACGGCCGACCTGTTCGACGCTCTCAAGCTGACCAAGGGCGACGGTGGCAAGGCTCTCGAGGTCCTGAAGAGGCGCAAAGCGGCTGCGGCGGAAAGTGCAGCGGCCGGCCAACCTCGAAAGACTCCACAGGCTGTACCCACGTCCAGAACAACATCCCACGTTTCGAAAACACTGCCGGCACAGCGCAAGGCGCAGCAGCAGCAGCAGCAGCAGCAAGCGGCTATCGTCGTTGACGACGACGGCGACGACGGAGAACGCATTGATAACCGCAGGGTGACCGAGCTCAGCTCCGACGAAGACGACGCCGAGGAGATCGACCGCGCCGACAAGGAGGACCGCGCGGCCGTCAACTGGTTCAACACGGCCGACGAGAACGCGCTCATGGACACGACCAACTGCTCGGCGGCCCAGGCGCAGACCATCATCGGGCTGCGGCCCTTCAGGAACGCAGACGATGTCGAGGCCAAGCTGGGCGACAAGGCGGCCAAGGGCGTGACCCCTCGGATCTTCAACGCGTGCAAGGAGCTGATGGCAGGCTACTACGAGGTCGACGAGGTGCTAGCCAAGTGCGAAAAGGTCGGCCGCGAGCTCAGCTCCGCAATGGCCTCCTGGTATCCGGACTCGGCCGGCCCCAGCTCGCGCGTCGGGTCGCCGGCCGCAGGCACCTCGAGAGAAGGCACGCCGTCCGGCACCCTCAACCTGTCGACGGTCAAGAAGGGCGCGTCGATCAGGGACAAGTACTACCTCGAGGAGCAGCCGCGGTTGCTCGCCGATGGCGTCACGCTCAAAGACTACCAGTTGGTGGGCGTCAACTGGCTCAACCTGCTCTACCGCAAAAAAACGAGCGCGATCTTGGCCGACGAGATGGGCCTCGGCAAGACGGCGCAGGTCATCTCGTTCTTCGCTCATCTGAAGGAGACGGGCGTGCGGGGTCCGCACTTGGTGGTGGCGCCGAGCTCGGTGCTGGAGAACTGGGACCGTGAGTTCCGCTTCTTTGCACCTTCGATCAACGTCCGGCGCTACTACGGCTCGCAGAAGGACCGCGTCGAGCTGCGCGAGGAGCTGCGGTACGACGAGGACGTCGAAGTCATCCTCACCACCTACGAGATGGCGTCGGGCGGACCGGCCGACCACGCGTTCCTGCGCAAGCGCGGGTTCAATGTCTGCGTGTACGACGAGGGCCATGTGCTCAAGAACCGCAAGTCGCAAAAGTACGACAAGCTGCTGCGCATCCGCTCCCAGTGGCGGCTGCTGCTGACGGGCACGCCGCTGCAGAACAACCTGCAGGAGCTCATCTCGCTGCTCAACTTTATCATGCCACAGTACTTTAGCTCGGCCGAAGAGGCGCTTGCGGCCATCTTCAAGGTCAAGGCAGGCGCACAGCAGAACCAGCTGTCCAAGCAGCGCGTCGGCCGCGCAAAGCGGATGATGCAGCCGTTTGTTCTGCGCAGGCTCAAGGACAAGGTGCTGACCGACCTCGGCACCAAGACCATCACCGTAGAGTACTGCGAGATGACGCCCGTGCAGAAGAAGGTCTACGCCCAGGCCGTCGCACGATCACGGGCCGCCGCACTCGGAGAGGCCGACCAGGCCGATCGGCCGCGCGCCGGCAGCCGGACCCGAGGAGGCACGACGGGTGGCAGCAAGGACTCGGGCCATGTGCTCATGGAGCTGCGCAAGGCGGCCAACCACCCGCTGCTGACGAGAAGGATCTTTGACGAGAAAAAGATTGACGCCATGGCGCGCGACCTGATGAAGGAACCCGACTATGCCGACGCCAATTTTGAGCATACCAAGGAGGACCTCCGCATCAACACCGACGCACAGCTGTCGTTTTCGGCCAACACGTATCCTGTGAGTCGTCGTGGTCGTCGTGGTCGCCTTGGTCGTCGGACTGCCCGTGCTTGCTCCGCCGCAGGCCACATCCTCTGACCGCCCGAGTGTCACCGCTGACGTGCGACCGATCCCTGTTGCCTTTCCTCTGCGCCTTTGCCGGATGCCACAGAGCACACGCAAGCACGTGCTGCCGGCCCGCGAATGGATGAACGCCGGCAAGGTCAAGGCCCTGGAGCGGCTGATCCCCGAGATCAAGGCGCGGGGCGAGCGGATCCTCATCTTCAGCCAGTTCACCATGGTGCTCGACATCCTGTGCGTGTGCCTGGAGCACATGGGCATCCGCTACGTTGGGTTCACGGGCGCCACGCAGGTCGAGGACCGACAGCACCTGGTGGACCAGTTTACAAACGACCCGGAGATCACCGTCTTCCTGCTCTCGACCAAGGCCGGAGGGCTGGGCATCAACCTGGTCGCCGCCAACTGGGTCATCCTCTTTGACCAGGATTTCAACCCGCAGAACGACAAGCAGGCCGCCGACCGGTGCTACCGCATGGGCCAGAAGAAGCCCGTCACGGTCATCAAGCTGATCTGCAAGGGCACCATCGACGTGAGTGACAGACCGTTGCGGATGCCGTCCGAGGCGATGCGGTCGGTTAGCACTCGCGGACACGGCTGACGATCCCTTGCATCCCCGGGACATGCCCCCCTTCCGCCGCCCTTCTGCGCCATCTGCCCCCTGCGAACCTGCCCCCTGCGAACCCAACAGGAGGACATCCACGCTCTGGGAGAGCGCAAGATCCAGCTGGCCGAACGCGTTTCGGGCGAAGAGGACCTCGAGTCGGACGAGGCCGAGCAGCAAAAGGTCGCTCAGACCCTGCTGTCGCAGCTGCGCGAGCGACCGGCCGAAGTCGTCGAGATCGACGACGACTGAGTCGCGACAGGGGGGAAGGGGGCAGTAGCAGGGCGCATCGGACCGTATGGCTTCCTTATGTACCAGCCTGTCATAGACTTGCGCGGAATGCATCGTTGGAAGAGCACGCAAGCGCCCCTGCGTTGCGCCAGATAGCTGTACGCCTGCCTCGAGGAGGCGGACCTCGACCATCGTCGACGTCGCGGATGTCTGGCCGCGCAAAAAAGCACAAACGCGACAAAAAGGAAATGCGAGCAGTGGGGTTCGAACCCACGATCTCTCCCTTGACACCTTTGTGGGCACCTTGAGCAGGGCAAGTGGGAAGGGAGTGCAGTGACCACTTTGCCATGCACGCTGTGATTGGTTGAGGGCCGCGAAGCAACGTATATAAATCGCCGTGTCACGGTACGACCGCTTAGGATGAAGCGGGGAAGGCTGAGTGCTGACCTGGTGCGGTCCGATGGCTTCTCTGGCGCAGGCGTGCGCCGCGGGCGTAGCGGTAAGCTGCGGTCAGCCGAGGGTCTTGGGAGGCGAAACGCCTGATAAAGTCGGGATCGGATGAGAATCAGGCCAGAATGGCCGTTGCCGATGGAGGCCCTGGCTGTTTTGCTTCCGGCAGGCGGTTGTGGCGCTCGTCGACGGCCGGTCTTCATCTGGACGAGGGAGGCGGCCTGCTTCGTGTCAACTGCATCCGGCGCACTGAGACACGCGCCGTTGAGCAGCGAACCGACCTCGATGGAACAAGAAGGCGTCGACGTCGCTGGGGCGTGAGCCACCGTATAGGATTCTACGCAGTCTCGCACTGGCTCCTCTCTCGATGGCAGGTCGGTGCGATGTATGGGAAGGCGACGAGGGACGGCACCATTCGGATGAGCCTCTACTCCAGCATGACGTTGATCTTCGGTGGGCCGCTCCACTCAGACTCTTCTTTTTCTTCGGACCAGACCGAAAAACGCCAGCTCGCCTGCCGACAAACGGGGGTCCAAGCGACGAGGTTGACGATCTCGCTGACAGCCAGGCCAAGCTGCCGGTGTCAGGCGAGAGAGGGGCGGAAAGAAAGAAAGGGTCTTCGGTCGTGGGGCCCACACCTACACTTTCCTCGAGCCCAGAGAGGAGACGGACATACACTACTTGCTCGCTAGACCCTAGCCTCTCCTGGCCCCGAGCCCTGGCCTAACTACCTTGCCCAGTCACCCGAGCGCGCACGCCAGCATCCCTCGGCCCCTGCCCGGACGCCGCTTCCCCCTCTTCCCTCGTCCACCTCTTCCTCATCCCGTCCGTCCGTTCGTCCGCCCGTCCACCGAATAGGCACCTCGTCCTGTACAGTACATACAGCACAGAACACACTGCTTCTGCTGCTAGCCAAGCAGCAGCGTCGCATCCCGGGCTCAAGCTTGCACCTTCTTTGCACCCTTCCCTCCTCCTCACTCTTGTCGGCGCTGCTTCCGGACATGACTGCCTCCACGCTCCTTTGACCACGACCGTCAGCACCTCTCCACCGCGCGAGCAACACCGCCACCACCCAACCTCGATCGGTTCGCCCCGCAACACAGCCCTGCTGCCCGCCATGAGATCCGTAGCCAAGCTGGTCCATGTCAGCTTCCGCACCGTCGAGAGGGCGGCCGACTGGCTCACGGGCTCCGCCGGCCCCGTCTTCATCGCAATCTGCATCATCCTCGTCGTGGGCGGCATCTGGACCTTTTGTGAGCATCCCAGCTGCTGCTCGGCCCGTCTGCGCCCATCAGACCTTCGGTAGCCCGCTCCAGGCTGACCGACCGACCGATTGAGCCTGCGCTCGCCTCGCCCAAACCTCTCTCCGTCACCCAGTCTCCTCAATGTTCCCGCAGCTCGCACAGGCGCCACCAGAGCTCGTCGCCCTCTTCCAAACCCATTCGCCCGCCCACGTCGCCCTCGGCCTGGCGCCGTCAATCTACAACAGCTTCAAGCAGACGCCCGCAGTCGCGGCCAAGTTCTTCGCCTGGCTCTCGGTATGCCTCTTCATCATCCTCAGCATCGGGTGGCACTACTACATGGCCTGCACAGAGCCGCCGGGCACCGTCCTAGAGGGGCTTGGAGACTCGAACCGAGAGCGCAGGACCGGGCCAGGCAGCAGCATCTGGTGGTCCAGGTACAGGAAACGCGCCTCCAAAGCGAGCGGCCCAGCGGTGCCCCGTCTCGCTTCGACGGCCACAGTGCATCCTGGGAAAGGTGCGGATGCCGAAACCGCATTCGAGCCTGCCTCGCCCATCCGTCCGGTGGCCTCGCTCGAGGACCTGCGGAAGGGCTCCAGCGACTCCCAGCGCGCGTCGCGATCGTCGAATGCCGCGGGGGCCAAGATGGCGCACCTCATTTCGTCGTCGCGCTCCTCTTCGCATCGATCCTCGTCGAGCCAATCGTCTATCACCTTGAGCAGCCCACGGCTAGCCAAATCGCCGCTTCCCATTTCGATGCAAGAGGCCGAACTGCGCCTCCCGGGGCACGTCGACGCAGAGCTCGAATCGGACGTCGATGACGAGGACGATGACATGTTTCCGCTCGCGCGCATGTGCCACAAGTGCCCCAAGGTGCCACTCTGGAAGGCACTCTCTGTGCTTCCGCCCGAGCTGCGACAAATCGAGAGACGGCTGCGCTCGAAAAAGCCCAAGAGCACGGCCAAGCCGCCTGGCGACTCATACGTGGCCGACAACGAGGACGACGAGGGCGAGGCCGAGATTCGAGCTTGGCTTGGCGACGAAGAGGCCGAGAAGCTGGTGCCTCCTCCGAAGCCGGAGCGCGCCCATCATTGCCGTGCCTGCAAGACCTGCACTTTGAAATTCGTAGGTCGCCCCGTCGGCATCGCGACGTGGCCCCTGAACCCGGGAAAGCAGGCTAGCTCAGCTGACCGTTGTTGCCTTGTCGCGCCACTCGACTTTGCAGGACCACCATTGCCCCTGGATCAACGGCTGCGTCGGCATCGGCAACGAGCGCTACTTCGTCCTCTTCATGACCTGGCTCTCCATTGGTTGCGCCGTGGTGACCGCAAGCGGGTGGCGAGTCGTCAGGGAAACGTTCGAATTCCGCAGCGACTGGCCGTACCCATATACGCCGCGAGTCTTTGTGCTGCTCCTGTACGTCCTCGCCGTGGTCATGGGCTTCGCGCTCGCGGTCATGGCAGGATGGCAGCTCCTCATCGTGGCGCGCGGCGAGACGAGCGTCGAGAGCAACGACAACGGTGAGTCGCCCCGCCCCAGCTCGCTGCAGTCTCTCTTGGCGGCTCAACTGACGATGTTGCTCGCTCTCCGGTTTCGTCCAACGCTGTCACCGCCGTTTAGCGTACTACCGAGAGCTGGCCGCGAAGCGAGGCCAAGACTTCGACAACGTCTACGACGTCGGTGCATGGAAGAACCTGCAGCTCTTCTTCAACGTCGGGCCCGGATCGCCCTTGTGAGTCTTGATCGCGACGAGGCTCGAGCCACCCCTCCGCTTGCGCTGACAGTCCCTCTACTGAATGCCTAATCCTGCTCCACCGCAGTCGGTACCATACCATCCTCCTGCCTAAACGCATCCCGCCTTATTCGGACGGGTGGCACTGGGCCAAGAAACGCGGCCTGGGCGGCCGACATGCCGGCGTCAAGGCGGGCGAGGAGCTGACGGATGAGGAGGTCGAGTACGACGACCACGCAGATGTCTACCGACCCTCTCCCTCTTCTGTCTCGAATTCATCCCCGGTCGGAGATGGCCAGAGCGAGTAAAGCCCGCCTCCCCTTCCGGCGGCGACGCAAAGACTCTCAGCGAGATCCCGGCTCTTTCAAGTCCGGCCAAAATATACCCTGCTGTTGCTCGCGGCCAGCCCTCTGCTGGCCTCTTTGCCCGCCGCTATATATACATCCGCGTCGTCGGACGCGGGGCAGGACCTGCCCCTTGCGTCACCCGGACAATTGCTGAATCGGCCTTGCCGCTCGTCAGCCTTCCATCTTCTCTCAACCTCATCACTCTGGTACTGTAGCACTCACCCGGCGTTTCGCACGTCTCCGGCAAAAGATACCCCCGCCCTCGACCTGTGTCACTCCGTCGCCATGTCGTCCGTCAGCTCGAACCCAACCCTCTTGGCATCGCCACCTGCGCCTACATCCTCATGAAGTCATGGCATGGCGCAACGCTCGCCGACGGGATGGTGAGGTTTTTCAACGGCGTGATATTGTCCGAGACGGGGAGTAAAAGAACACGGCCTCGTTCGATGAGTGAAGATGCTGAAGCGAAGGCGCGAGACTGACCGTAGCAGCTTGCTAGTCGTCCTTGTCGGCCTGGGAACGGTGGCGAGCGCGCGGCTGTTGCCCCGATCCGGACCGCCAGGGCGAGGCTGATGGTGCCAAGCCGCCGCTCGGTCCTCCAGCCCTCGTGTCGCCATCTGCGTGCCCGCCCGCCGCGACGAATTTGTTGAGCTCGTGCTCGCGCGAGGATGGTCGCTGGTTCTGACTCGTCGCACCGTCGTTCACCAGGCTGACCTTTGGTGGTGGAGCTACTGGAGTCGCAGGAGGTCGAGCCTGTCTGGCCGCCTCGTGGTGCGGTAGATCTAGCGCCGTCTTGGTCCGCACTTCGTCCAAGGCCGCTCCCAGCGCTCCCTCGACGCTGATTCTGCCTCGAATGGTGTCGTTCAACAGCCTGCCGAACCCCTTGCCGCCAGGCGGCAGCGGTGAAATCGCGCCGCTCCGCCCGATCGAGCCGGATGCAACAGGGACAGACGGGGGCAAGCTGTCGCCAAAGTTGATCGGCCGTGCCCACTTGGACGCAGCCCCGGTGTTGGCTGGCAGGCCGGCGGCGAGGTCGTGGAGCAGCCTGTGGTGCTTCTGGTGCTGCCGTTTCCTGTAGCCTGCGCCGCCATCATATGCCTTAGCCACGATTGCGTCTGGAGGTGGAGCGTCGTTCCAGCCGGCGTAGGACGACGGCCCATTGACGGCATGAACCGAAGCAGAGAGATGGTCTCCAGCTGCACTAGGCGCGTGGTGGCGGTCCGACTCGATGCCTGCGTCAAAGACGACGCCGCCAGAATCTGCACCTACTGAAGGGCGGCTCTCAGATCCTCGCGCAGACCGAGATCGCGACTCGCCAAACTTCCAGACGTTCGGCTTCCAATCTGCGTCGCTGTCGACATCGTGATTGTCGGACGTGGCGGTCGAGCTCAGGTCGGAGACGTGAGAGAGCAGGGAAGGTCGTGCGTTCGCTGTCGGCGCCGCCGCAGACTTTCTGGGCCTGTCCTCCGGCGCCTCGTCCGACCGTTGCTTAAGCAAGTCGTCCAGGCCCGAGTCGCCCGGCTGATAGTCCGGGTGCCCCGGTCCAACGCCAAAGGTCGGCTTTCGTTCGCCGTCGTCCGTCATCGCCCGTCTCTTCTCGGATGGCGTAAAGAATTTGAGCTTTTCGGCTGGCACCTTGGAGACGTGAATGGGCCCTTTGGGCGCGACGAAGCCGGAGCTGGCCGCCGACGCTGATGCCGAGGTGCTGGCCCCCACGCTGCCGGTCCTTGAATGAGTGCGTTCGAGCCCGGCGCCAGAGTGTGAGTTCGTGTCGGATGCTGGGACTGCCCCCAATCTGCGGTCTGGTCGCGAAGACGGGGCTAGGCTGCTTGGATAGCCCCCGCCGAGACGCGAGATCGAACCAGTCCGCGACAGCGTCGAGCTCCTCCCCAGCGCGACGGAGCCAGGGATGCCTTCGTCGGCGTAGCTCTTGTTAGTGTCGGGCATGAAGTCGGATGCAGGATCTTCTGCCGGCGGACCCAGGCTGTTTGCGGCGGCAGAGAGGCTGCCGTTTGCTGCAACCTCGGTATAATCTTCTTCGTCCTCTTTGGGAACAAAGGCCAGCTTCAGGGCCGCCGTGGTGCCGCCTTGCTGCTCTGATGGCACGATTGCTCCGCCGTCGCTGGCGAACACCTTGATCTCTGCATTCGGCGGGCGATGCTTGCAGCTGTCGATGGGGATGTACATGACGCTTCTCATCTGCACAGCGTCTCCGGGCCAGAGCTTGTTAGACCGTCGCAACGTCTGGATGTCGGCGCCATAATGCAGTGCCAGAGAGGAGAGGGTGTCGGTGGGTGCGACTGGATGGATCAGCACCCTCACCTGCGCCTCTTGGGCGGGCGCCGACTGGCTCGAAGCTGTCCGAAGCGAAGGATGGCTGGCGCTTGCGAGTCGACCGTCTCTGGGATGGCTGTTGTCCCTGAGGCCGAACCATCCTTCGAGCTTGTCGAGGGCACTTGGGGGGTGACCTTTCCTGCCCTGATCCTCTGCGTGTGCGGATCGAGATTCGTTGCGATACCTCGGCGCCTGCGCTGGACCGGTGACGGGGTCTTCTGGCCATTCGTAGCGGTCTCCTGCGGTTGCGGACCCAAACAAGCCCGCCAGACCGGCACTGATGGCTCTCCATTCCGAGGCTATACCGCCAGGAGTCGAGCGCGAGGATGTCGAGACTGGCAGGGACTCGCCAGGAGGCGAGTCGGAGGCAGATCTGCGACTACGAAGGCCCGTCGACGTGCCCGGTTGAACGGTGTTGGGAGAAGGAGAGCGAAGGGGGTGCTTGTCGACTTGACGGGAACCGGAAGCCTGCACTGACAGGTGCGAGGAGGACGCCGCTCGGCTCCCGAGGCGAGAACGCATGCCATTGCCACCTTCGGACCAAGGGTCAATCGCATCAGGAGTGTCAGAGTTCGACGTCGAGGCGAGCCAGGGAGACGAGCTCATTGTGGACGGAGGGGTATCATGTGCGGTGCTGGGGAACCTGTCAGTCTCGTCTCGCCGTGCCTGTTGTCTTCTTGACCATGTGGCGGCAAGCAGGACCGCAGGACGACGGCGAGATGGAGGCAAACAGGTGACTGCGGCGGCGTAATTCGGCTTCGTAGGACGTTGTTGGCGCTAGAGCTGGATCATAATGGCGGTCGAAGAATCGTTCGGTAGGCTGAGGGGGTGGTTAGGGCAGTCGGTGGGATGATGGTGGTGTCGGGAAAGGGCAAAGGACTGGCCGGCAGCAGGCGGCCCGCGGCCAACGACGACCCGAGTTGCCAGCAGGCCCCACACGCCAAAGCCGCCTGGTGGCCCTCACCGAAAATCTGGTGCGTGTCCCGTGCGTAGCCTGCCTGCAGGCACGACCTCGTCCCCTCGTCCCTCTGCTCTCGACCTCTGACAGATACCTCACACGAGACTTCGGGCCGTATCCTCGTGTCTGGCGCCAATCGACGACAGCCGTGCCTCTTCCGTGGCGCTCGGGCTTGGACCTCCTCAGACGCCCCAGTTTGGCTCCTTCTGAGGGGTCGAAGGCGCTGTTCCCAGACAAGTCAGCCGGCCCATTGCCATCGTCCTTTGACCACAGTCTCTGGTCTCGAGCCGACCGCCTTTTCTTGTTGCATCAACGGTCAGCATCGGATCTATAGCTACGTCAAGGGTCGCTCCCGTCGGACACAAAGCCGGATGAAGCCTCCGTCACGGCGAGCGATGGGGTAATCGCGATGGTCGTCATCAAGGAGAGGGGAAAGAGGCCGTGTGTGCTGGGGTGCCGGGTTCAAGGTCGGGAACGCCAGGATCGGTCACGGCAGAAGCAGATGCAGGCACACCGATCGCAATCGCCGGGAGCTTTGGACTGTGTCCAATTTTAGGCAGTCTTGGAGATCTCGACGGTGTTGGTGGCGCCGAGCACTTCCTTCATCTTGCCGTAGATGGCGAACTGACCGGCGGTGATGGTACCGACCATGATCAGACGGGTGGTGAGACCACCGAACAGTCCCTTGACTCCGAGCTCGCCGGCCATCTTGGTCAGACGGCCGGTGATGGTCTCGCCGGGGGCGGCCTTCTGCTTGTTGATCTTCGAGAGAAGCGTGTCGGCGGGCTGCGAGATGGTGGCGGCGGCGAAACCGGCAATGAGACCCGAGCCGAGGTTGAGGAAGGTAGCCTCACCGCCCGAGAGCTCCGACTTGGGCTTGCCGTAGGCAGCGACGGCGTTCTCGAGGACGACCTCCATGGTAGCGAACTTGGCCATGTTGTAAGGGATCTGCTTGAAGAGGATGGGTCCGAATCCGGCGTAGAAGCCGCCGAGGCCCTCCTCCTTGGCGATGCGGGCGAAGCCGGGCAGAAGACCGTTGGCAAAGGTGGGCTGCGAGACGAGACGGATACGGGTGGCCTCGAGCGGGCAGAGGGCAATGTCGGCGAAGAACTCGGCAGCGGCAGAGGCACCAAGGTAAATGGCCATGCGGTTCTTGACGGCGGTCTCGTTGTCAATCTGTCCGACAATGAGCTTCTTGAACAGCTCGTAACCGCCGAACTTGAAACCGCCCTGGAGGAAGTAGCCGAGAGCGGTGGGTCCAAGACCGGTGAGAAGAGCGCCAGCACCCTCCTTGGCAACGACCTGGCGGAAACCACCGATCATGCCCTTGTTGTAGACGGTGGGCTCAAGCTGGATACGCGTCTTGACGACATCGATGGGAGTGACGGCACCGTGGGTGATGGAGCTGTGGGATGCGCGAGCGGCGTCGCATGGGGGAAGGACGTGGGAGACGTTATTGACGGGTCAAGGGTCAGTCTCATGGTCGGGTCCAGATTCGGCTCAGATTCGCAGCGACCCTCAAACCACCGCCGCCCTCGATGCGTCCCGACCCGCACCTGCCACGACGCCGCGGGCTCAAGCGCCACGGTCGATGCAGGGGCAGCGCAATCGCCCTAACCCAGGGGCGCTGGGCCTCGTGTAGCCTTCTGCACCAGCGTCTCTCGCCATCATGACCAGACGAAAGAGTTGTCCTCTGCCGCTGAATGCCGCGAGCGTGGCACACCGTCGCCAGCAAAAGCATCGCCAGCGAAACGGCTCGTCCTCCTCCATCTTGGTGGGGGAACGAATATTCGACGAGCGTGGGAGAGTCACAGCAACATCTCTGTGGGGGCCGAGACTCACCAGCAAAGGGCACCGGCAAGGAAGAAGCGGGAGTAGAGGTCGACGCCCTGGGGGCCGGGCTTGACAGCCTCGGCCACCGAGTGGATAGGGTACGAGCCCTTGGTGAAGCGGTCGGAGAAGGAAGCCATTTTGACTGAATGGAAGGTGGTCTGAGGATAGGGGAGGGTCGACGAGAAGGGTGCGATGACCGGTGGTGATGGTGATGGTGGTGGTGAGGAGGAGGGGATAGAAGGGAACAAACGGTGTTGATCGGCGACGGGGGGGGGGGGCAGAGGAGCAGGGCCCACGGCCAGGCAGACAGACAGCGGACAGGCAGGCAGGCGGGCAGAACGGGCGGCGGGTTGGGTCGGATCCAAGAACGGGGAGGGGAGGGAGAAACCGCTCACTGCCTTCTTCCAGCGCGCAGCGCGGGTGGCAGAAGGGCGTGGGCGCAAACCCTTTAGCTTGCTGCTCGAGCACGTTTGCGGGCCGGCATCGACGACGTCGTTTGATCTTCTTCTTGGCCGGCACCTCACCCGGGCCGCTCAATGGGCGGCTTCCCCTACCCTGCCCCCCTTTTGCTTTTGATTTTTCCCCCTCTTTCGAAATTCTCGCCTGGCGCAATTCAACTCGTCGAGATTTCAAATCGCCGGAAGTGCCCGTGGGACGCCCTCCTGGCTCGATCGCCAAAAGTTTCGGCGACGCAGCCGTCTGCCCAGAGGCCAGTAGTCCAGCCCAGTCTGGCCAACGCGCGGAAACCCGCTCTCCTTGCTTATCTCTTTGGCCCACACCGGAGGCTGGCGGTCAAAGAGCGGGCTAGGACCGAGCGTCATGGACGCTTCGGGCTTTTCGGAGGCAACCTCTCGCCTCCGATACCGTCGAGGTAGACGGCCCACCGACATCGTTACCCCACGCCCGCAATTCTAGGTAGCACAAGCACGTCCCCATCCCTGCACACATACAAGAGCAGGAATCAACGACAGAGTGGTGGTGCGGCGCCGCTGTGCAGAGGAAGTAAGGACCCGAAGGGAGCGCCAGTTCTCTCGATGATGGAAGCTCGAGAGCGTCTCGAGTGTCGGATCGACGATGCCGAGCCCAGAGGAGGAACCGAAGCTGGAAGATCCGCCGCTAGAATACAGACGGACGACCGGTTGCCACGGTCCCTGAATGGCCGGCATTCCTCGCCTCAACAACCGGCGAGCGATGGATGCGACATGAGAGATGCGGAGGAGATGCTGTCGGCAAGAGGGCGGTTTCCTGTGAGCGATGGCGCAGAGGCGGGAATCGAGAGGCTTCCAGCCAGGAAAGCCGGCACGACTCCTTGCACGCGCGCACTCGCGGAGCTGTTCAGCGCGGCGAACGCGGACCCTCCGGGAGGTGGCGACACGCCTAGGCGGCAGCGCGCATCTTGGACCGCTTGCCGGTCTGCGCCTGGAAACCGCTCTTGATCGCGCTGACGGACCGCTGCGAGCCGCACTTTTCGCAGGTGACGAAGAAGATGCGGTTCTCCTTTGTGAGGAGCGTCTCGGGGCGCTTGCAAGTCTTGCAGATGACGTACTCGGTGATGTACCTTCGCAGCACGTTCTCGATCTGCTTGGGCTGGAAACGTCCTCGGATGACGAGCCGTTGCGAGCCGTCGACGGAACCAAGAGTTCCCAGCTCCGAGAAGAGGTACTGGATCACGTGGTCGGGCTGACGGTGCATCCGCTTGCAGATGTCGACGACGTTGGCGAACATCGTCTTCTTGGATCCATCCCTGGTGACCTGCGGCGGGACCATGGTGAACTTCTTCTTTTCGCCAGACAGGGCGGGGTTCTGGGCTCGCAACGTCTTGAAGATGCGTCCGAGAAGCTACGATTAAGAGGAAAGGAGCAGCGCGGAGAGGACGGAAATGCGTCAACATCGAGGCCGAAGTCTGAGCGGGTCATGAAGACGCGACGATGCTGCGCTGCAAAACTCACCTCCTGATATGTGTAGTCGCGATCCGTGCCATGCCAGGTCTCGGGCTGATCTTCCTTGGTCTCGGCGCCTTCGCCATCCTCTTGAGCGAAAGGGTTCTCTCCCAGGTCCTCCTCGTCGCCGATGGCGCCGGCCTCGCCATCCTCGCCACCTTCGCCGAGCTCCTTCTCAAACGCCTCGAGGTCGAATGCGGCCTTCTTCGACTTGGACTTTTTCTTCTTCTTCATCTCTCCGAACTGGGAGAATTGTGGGATTGGCGGCAGCAGACGCGCGGGCGAAGGATCGAGCGGTCAGCGGAACGACTCGACGTCA